GGGGAGGGCTTGCCAGGTGCCCCGCTGAGCTTGCTTCCTGTGCCACACCTCTATCCCGCTGCCGGACCTCAGGCCATTGGCGACCTCTTGACCCACAATATGGTCAGTATGATGTCATTCCAGGATCCTCCCTCTCACAATTACAACACATTTTACATCAAACTAAGCATTCAGCATGAACACAGTGCACAGTGGAATTGACGTTGTAGGCAGCAGTGTCCCCAAATTCCACTTTTGTTGCCATGACTATAGCCTTTGTTCGCCCCTCTGCTGTTTTCTAATTACTTAGTGCTCATTTAGCTGTGCAGTAGAGGATTTCCCCCAGAATTCCCACTGGAAAGCAGGAATTCCCCAAAGCAGAAAACAGCATCCAATTGTATAACATGGACATCTTGGGTATTGAATGTTTAACACAAATTATTTCATTTAAACTGTATTTATTCTCGCTTTATATTATTTTGTTAATCATGTTTAACAATTAACATGAAAAAAACCTTTGGGGACAGTAACTGAAAACAGACCACAATCAATTAAAAGTGAATTGAAACAGAGCACATTTTCATACTTAAATTGCACATAAAATAAGATACATAATAAATGAAACAAGGATTGTATGATATGCATTGATTTTTAAATTGATTGATTTTATACATTTTTTGGATTTGCATGATTTGTCATGGATTTCACGCCATATGCCAGATGCAACTCTAGTCCAAGAAGTACACTGTAAGTGACCCCTTGAGGTTTGATCAGCAAATACACAACTTACATGTTAGTGCCTAGAAAGTGTAGTTTTATAGAATTTCTGACACATTACATTCTGTTGTTTATTTACAACCAGAGTGCACTCCTCTTCTTCAAACTGGGCTATTTCACAGGGCAGTAACTATGGCATTAACCCCAGAGCGGTCAGTTTGTCCATCACTGCCTCTCTCTCTTCCATCTCTGGAGCCTTGATGTCTTTACGCATTGCAGCAGTCCACGCCCCCCTCAGTCTGGGACTTCAGGGGTGTTTTCCTGGTTGATGGGTACACACACACATACACACACACACACACTTCCCCCCTCTGCCCTCTCCGCTCCCTTGCCTCTCTCCTGGGACCCCTGTGTGCAGAGACTGGGGTGATGGACAGAAGACTAATATCCAAAGCTAACCACTCACTCCTCCCTCCCTCCGACTCTACACAGCCAGCTGTCACAAGGCCTTCATGGTGACAAATACAGCGCGACATAGCAGGAAATAAATAAATCTGGAGATAGAATATGAAAGATGTACTGAATGTAGAAACATTCTGGGTAAAAGCATTAATAATTGCATCATTTCCCTCTTCTAAAGAAAGATGGAGGATTTCTAACAATGGTCTGCACTCTCCATTTGATCATACTGTAATGTTGCCTCAAGCATTACATGCTTCAAATAATGAGCTATCTGAAGTCACATGTCAGGTGAATTGTAGAATCTAAATTGCTCCTGGTGAAAGAAATTGGCTGGCTGACAGGTAAGTTTTGGCATGTAGATAAGCCCTGTGATCTCAGAGATATTAACAACAGACAGACATAAATAATCTGAACATTGACCTAAAGTATAGGTTTCTTTTCCTCCATTTTAAACTACTTATTTAGAATTGTAATAGTATTATCATATGATTATAATATTATAAGTAGGCTACATATTCCCCCTTTCATTATTGCACTGATATTCTTTTTTGATTAAAACAAATATTGAGGTTTGTCTTCGCTGTTACGTTCTCACACATGTAGCATAAGCCCTAAAAAGAAACATAGTACAAATATAAAAACATGGGGAATGCCTGGAGTAATAGTAAAATGAAAGTCTAATATTTAATCTGCTTTTACACCATTGTGTTTAATGAAGCCCCCACAACCAGGGGGGCTGCGTACCTGGCACAGCCTTTGAATGATCTTGCCCAGTGCACAGCTTCAAAGTGGCTGTGTCCCGGTGGCTTTAGCTGACATTCCGCTACCTCCACATTATATCACATTGAATGGGATTTGAGACTGCTCCCATTTTGTGCCGCTGCAGTGAGACTTCTGCAATCAGAGAGCAAATAGAGAGAGCACTGAGGTCTGGGTGCTCAGTAAGCCAGGGCTGTTCTTTCAGGTGAACTGCAAATAGCATGTATAGGTTCTTTGGTTTTCGGTTTGCACTGTATGCTGATACAGATATAGCTTTTCCAGTTACATAATCCACCTTTTTATGAACTAATTAAGGGCTGACAATATAACAAAATAATTTCCAGACAATATTATGAGACCAAAACGTTCTCGTTTAAGTCATGATTGAGTTTCAACATTTCACAAAAAGTGGATGGACCAGAAATTGTAAACTACAAAATTGAAGATTTAAACACAATATTGCATATCACAAAAACAACGACTGCAATATTATAAATTTTTCAATATATCTTTCATCTATTTGCAATGTTTATTAAAAAGACCGGAAAGGTAAAACGTATGAATGCACCTTACTATATTTAAAGAGACCCTAAGTGCAGTACAGCAGATGAATGCAAGTCATGGTGGAAGTTGGAATACCCCGAGAGAACCTTCACTAATAAAGGGAGTCCCTCCTTCCAGAGGTTTGGTGTCAGCTAGATACTCTGAAAAATACATATAATTTTATATTTTCATACATACATTTTCCACTTTCCACATTTTTGTAATTATAGATATCCTCTTGACAATTTATATTGGAAAAACAATGCTTTTGAAGACACTGCACATCAAACAAAGTTATACAAACACACAAGCAATAATAAGAAATATTGACAGACATCAAGGCTGGGTTTTTCATTTCTTACACTGTGTTGTTCGTGTTTGATGGGTCTCCACTCTGCTCAAACTAATCTGAGAAAAAATGCTAATGTTGTTTTCAAAAGGCAGCCTTTTTCACATAATAAGAGATTAGAGACAAACATACAACACTTTCACTATGCAGTTCCTTTGGCTCAGTAGTCTCTCCTGTTGCCCCTCTATGACGAGTATCTTTATACAGGTGAAGGGCAAAATGAACAAATTTAGTTCCCATTCTGACCCTGTGCTACACAGAAGGATAAATCACAGTACACATATAAAACCACCGATCATAGAATGAGGACAAAGCCCTCATGTGTGGAAAGTCCCAGGGTCAGTAAAAGCTAATTCTGTGTTGGATGAGTCCGTGGGGGCCTCCTGACACTTATATACAGGCCACATATGTTATTACAATGTATATGAAATATGCCTTATATTTTAACCATTAACAAAAGGGCTTCAGCTTGAGGAAACCATCAGCGTTGTAAGAAAATTAATGTGACTACAGTGTTAGCTACATCATTAGGCACAGAATCTATTTATTTATTAACTCAACATTTTATGCCATTGAAATGAAAAAGAAAATCACAGTCATACAAAAAACACCAAAAATGGTTGGGAGAGAAATAAAAATATACTCAAGTATAGACCTGTTATCATAAATACTACTTATTGCTCAATATGTGTTAGAAGGAACTATATTTTTGCAGTTAATTGTTTGTACATTTTCTTTGCGCTACTTGGAAATGTATAGTTATTTTTTGCTATATGCTACGATTTGAGACATAGAAGGTTGAATGAATCATTTCTATGATTCATTACAAATGCAAAAGTACTAAAGTGTTTCATTCTGCTGTTTATTTATTGCAGCTTGTCTTTTTTTAACCACATCTCAGGATATTGTGTCAGTGGTATAAATTAGTTTCAATATCGTTTATCGTATCAGCAATATTGTACTTCAAAATATGTTATGGTGACAGGGTTATTCAGGTAAATGTACAGCTAGTAGTACTTGCCCAATGCCTATAGACCACATGTAATCTAAATATATTATGGGATAAAATGATGCTAAAGTTGTGGGGTTAAGGCATAATATAAAACAGAAATATAGCAGAAAGGCTTAAGTGTTGGCGTGGAAGTGCACTCTCCAAGTGTCTGTGCTGTTAACAGTGAGATAGATGCAGTGTGAGTGTGCTGGCTGGACACTGCCTCCCATGTCGTGATTAATTGATGGGGCAAACAGCAGTTAAGCTCCCCATGGTCCACTGTGAGCTTCTGAGCTTTGTGCTATCTTGCTCACTTGCCACTACACAATGTGGCAATGTTACTTTGAAAAAAAACCCAAGGACATTTAAGTGCGCACACTGGGAGAAGAGGCCTATTTTAGAACAAGGACGCTGGATGATAGAGACAGAGGCTGAAGTGCTCAATGTGAAGAGTATTTGAATTAAGCTGCAGATGTTGCTCCATTTTTAATAAAGAGAGAGGTTGTTTTTGGAGTTGTTATAGGCTACGCTTTACTGGGCATTTTGGGCTGGGGAATTGCAATTTAGTGTGAAAATCATGTTGTTGTCTCTAAAATGTTTGGTTATGTAATAGCTAATGTCAATCAAGTAAATAAGAGACATTTTAGACATCTGTAGTCTCGCCGGCTGCTAAAGTTACATAGAAGGGACAATGAAAAGTATATATATATATATATATATCACCTGTGATCCAAACCAGAACTGTTTAGCTTAGATTATATGAAATTTTAAGAAATATATCTGTACCCTCACCAATGTTTTACCAATAGCCTACAATGGCAGCCAGTGTCTATCTAAAGTAGGCCTAACCTGTAATGAAGTTGGTAGGCTACACTGTTTGCTGCGCTATTCTGTCTTTCTCATTCGTGCGCCTGTGTTGTTTACAGTCCTTGGTTTATTGACATTTAAAAGATGGCCCCTCTTCCCTCGGAGTGCATCCACCTCCTCCTCCTCCTCCTCTTCCTCCCCCTCTTCCTCCTCCCTGCCCTCCCTCGTGGTGCACTTTCTCGGCTGGTCCTGTAGGAACACTGTGCTCCTCTCCTCCTCCCCGCGCCGCTGCAGCCCGCGCTCTTGACACAAGCGGCATCGCAGGCACGCAGCAGCAGCGCCTCTCGCAGACTCACAACTTACAGCTTTCTCTCTCTCCGCACTGAATGAGAACAAGGAGCCTGCCCGGAACACTGCGACAAAGCGCTTTTTGGTTGGAATAGGGACTTGGAGCAGCGATCGGACGAGGTAAACACACACGGGACGAAGCAAAGATAACCGCGCGGGACGGGGTGGCTTGGTGCACTTGTGTGGCGTGCATATGATTAGCCATAGATGGATCCAGTGGTTTCTTGGGTTAGTTTATTTCTAGTAAGTATTGCGTAGGTGTAGTAGGACAGAGTTTGAACGCTAGAATATGCTGCACTGGAAGGAAGTGCTTGGGTTCACGTAAGGCAAATAGATTCTGGATATCGAAATGGAAGCAATGCCACAAAACATTTGAGCCAATATGAGCTTTTTAGGGGCAAACTGAAAAACAGGAGATGCACTGCAGTTTTGAGGAGTTTTTGTCAAGCTTTGACTATTCAGCTATAGAGTCCTAAGCTTGCACCAGGATGCTTTTCATTACTGTAAATGTCCCACAACTTCTACTGAATAAAACCCCAACTGTCCTGGGACCACAGATGTTAATATCCTAATTCCCCCAAATGAAGGTCATCGCCTCAATTCACCAAGCAAATGCTCCTTTTCATGTGTATTCCTCTCACAAGTTATTTTAATGAGGCAGGTGGGCAGTGTCAGCATAAAGCGCAGCAAGGTGGACTGTAGTTGTATATCAAGGACACAGGTGCCTTGTTGTAACATGGGACAGTACAAAATCCTTACCTAACCCACTTTTATTTGCTCTATTAAAACTTACAGTGCAGAATCTGGTGTAGATATATATTTGATCATTCTAATGTGGAAGCGTATCCAAAATAAACATTTGTAAATAAAAAAATAAAAACTGAACTGATGAAATTACATATCCTTACCGATGCGGTCATTGCTTTGTGTGTTGTCCCCTTGTTCGTAGGTCTGCCCCTGTAACGTGACCGAAGGAGGAGTGCACAGAACTGCTTCATCATGAATTTTGTAATGAAAGCTGCGCTGGGAGGTGAGTGGTCCGCCCGGGCTGTGGGTTGATTTAACAGCACTGCAGTGTACAGGATTTAAAGGGGAGCTGCGTCCATGCACGCGCACTATTACTGTGTAGTTGTCCTGTGGACTCAGATAAGCTAATGGAACAAAGACATGGCTTTTTCATCTAACTGGAAAAGGCAATTTAAGTGGTTTATGGTGCATTGAAGTCTTGTGGGACCACTAAACTGCTATTGTACCTAGATATTCTGCCAGACATTTTTTTTCTGCTTCCACAAAATGAGTGTATTGATTTTTTTTCATTTTAGTGTCAAAATCTTACATTGTCAATAACAGATTATCTTTCTTCTGTTTTGGAACAAAGAGAACTGTCTGGTCAGCAGTGCTCTTGTGCTGCTTGTCCTGATAAATAGAAAAAGATTGTTTCAGGAGGGGCATCTGATGTAAAGACATTCAAAATGTTAATTACTGCACAAAATGAGGCAGATGGTTTCCTCCAGCGACCTGTGAAGGAGAAAAAAAAGTGAAAATAAAGGAGTTTTAAGCGAAGAATTCCAAGCACAAAGACTTTTTAGCCTTTAAATCCGGGCATTATCATAATCTTTGGCCCCCTAATTAGTGCCTATAATAGCTCTGAAACATATCCGTCTTGCTCCAGGCTTCAGGACAGCGAGGGCGAGGAAACTAGTCACATAGATCTGCTCCAGTGCTGCAGAGGCTCTCACTCACTGGTCAGCTGCATGTAGCCTGGATGGATAAGTCGCTGGCAGTTACACTTGTGTGGTGGTGCTCAAGCAAAGCCCCCTCACAGCTCCTCATTGGGATGCAGGGGATGGCAGCGTTGGCTCGCTCTGCATAGCGCCTGGGCTCATGTCTGCACTGTGAATTCTTAAATCAACTCTCCACTGCATCCCATTGCACAACACAACTGTGGACTTTGGGAATTAATTTGAGAGCATAGGGTGTTCTGCGTGTGTATAAGCAGTAATGTTTTATCAATACTCTATACGGGACAAATGGGGGAGAGAGGGGATTAATTATGGAGGTAGCATGGGGCGGGTGAGACCTACGGGCCTGGCTGTTTGTCACTGTTAGACAACAAGAAGTGCTGTAATGTATCTACAATAAGCTGCATTTGGTTTTGGGGCCTTGAGGGCTATTTCACTGGAAAATGCTGACAATGCATTGGATGGCTGTTTTGCACTGTTGGGGAATATCTATAATTAAAAACAAAACAATTAGCTAAATAATCAATCGCCTATTCCATCAATCTGATTGTTAGAAGCTGTCATTCAATACATCAATACTTTCTTCGGTTGATCACATTCACTTGGTATGGCTCTGTTTTGGGGATTATTCTACAAACTGATGTAATTAATTTCTAGTAAACAAGAGCTTGCAGATATATGGAATGATCACAATTTTTGTTTAGATTTTAGTTTGCTTTATAATAAACATAAAAAATATTAATATTGTAAACATAAACAAAACTTTTAATAACTGATTCACATTTTTTCCTCAAAAACTGCTTGGCTTAAAAATACCAATGCATAAACATGATCTTAGAAATGAGTAGATCTCAATTAGAATTTGATGAAATGCACAGTCCAAAGGTGAACTATGAAACCAAGCCAGTGCTATAGTGCAATGGTATATATTGGGGGAGTGGATAGGAAAATAATACATGGAGATTTGGTTTCATGGAGTGGCACTACCTTTTGCTGAGTGTCTGTTGGGAAGTGCGTGGAGAGAGGATGCTGTCAGTGCATTAGTGAATCCTCCAAGGCTTATTTAGTTACAGATGCTTTGGAAAAAAATGAGATGTTTAACAGGGGTGATTCAGCAGGTCAGGTGTCCTGCCATGGTCTGCGGCTTCTGCAGTGGTCATGTGATCACTGTTTAGGAGGTCACTTCCTGTTTACGATTCAAATGACAAATCGTTTTATGATAGATGTTCAAAGTCAATTTTAAAAACAAATGGAGACTATATATTTTCTGAAAGGCTTTTTAAAGTAGTCCATTATACTCTCTTGTCAGGAGAGCTATAGCCCTAATCAAATAAAAAATCTACAACAGGCAACCACTTTCTCTTAATATATATTTTATAAATCTGATCCACTATCTTCAAATTATTTATAATATAAGAGTTTCAAAATGTCAAATATCAAGGATTCCATTTTAGTCAAGCTACTAGTCACAAGCCAATGTAGTCCTGAGTAGAAAAGGTTGAGTCAGAAAGAGCATCTGGCGTAAAACATTTGCCAAATCAAAATGCAAATCACTCCACACATGTGATTTGCTGTGACAAAAGAAAAGAAGATTTGTCAAAAGAATAATCAATCTATTATATACTTTGTCATTTGCTAATCAGTTACGCTCAGTTCAGCTCACCTTCTTCACTGTGCTAATGCTCAAATGTAGCTATTTAAACAGTTTGGTGCTTTTGTTTCCAACAGACTTTAAATTTAGGCACCATAAAACTTTCTCTCTGCACTGATTGCCTTTCCTCTTGAATGCTTTAGCGCCGACTCAGCACTTCCCAATCTCCTAAATGCTGAAATAGTTTGTCAGAAAATGACAATGTTAAGTGACGCACACTTCAGTTTGAAGGTGAGGAGCTCAATCAAGCTGCAGGAGCCTGAGGCAGCAGTCGAACCATGACGACATCAGCAAAAACAGTTACCAGTCTGTCAATGGGAAAGTCAATGTACTGTGATGGGAGCCAAAAAGTCTCTACATTTATTCAAATAAGAAGCTCACTGACTACAGAGGGATTAGCTTGGGTGTGCAATGGTAACAAATGTTCAAAACTATACTATATTATATGATGAGACAATTTTTCTTTTTTCTACGATGGGGGAATTCCAGTGTTGCAACCTGAAGTTCGGGAGCAGCAGGAGAATGCAATAAAATTAAGATAAATAGTAACAGTTAAAAGACTAAAATCTAACACAACACTGTGCCAGTAAGGTAGAGCTATAAGGCTACAAAATAATTACATATAATATGTGGCTATGACTATGACTAAGAAAAAAATGCTTTTTTTACTGAGCCAAAACCTGCAAATCTTCTTTACAGTACATTTCTTTTTATGTAGTAATATGAACCCTACTGCTTAATGGTAATATTTTGCTGTACATCAAAGCTGTATCTTGCAATTGTGAAAGATGTGTAGAGATGAATCTATTTGTTGTACATTGTTTTTACAGAATGACCTTTACAGTATACTCTAAGATATTATATTGAATAAAACCTATATTCTTTTCCACACCATGATATTAAGAGAAGGGCATCTGACGTAAAGCATCAAACACTATGTAAATCACTACACACTATATATATGACATAAATTGTTTTCTGAGGCGACCCCAGAAGGGAAAAGCTCAAATGAAAGACGACGCAAAGCAGCTCAGCCTAAAATAGATTCTAGTAGCAAGTGACTAGTCCCGGATAAAGCATTGTGACAGACTGGAAGGGAAACAAAACATATTAAAATTTTAATCTAATTCACTGCAGCTCCGGCATTGTATCTTGTCTTTTCAATGTGGCAGGCAAAACTGCAAAATTACATGTACACAGTGGCTCTTTTTAGTTAGAAAAACGCAACATTTTCAGACTAACACTCATCTCATTTCATCTTTTGTAAGTGCCTGTAATTGCATTGAAAAGCAGACTAATATGATTGACAGAGTGCCCTGGTCTGCATCGGTTGAATGGCCCCTGACATTCACACACACACACATACACGCACACACATACACACACACAAGCGCAAATCAAATTCACTTCACCAGCGACCTTCAGCCCCTCCTTCAGAGCAAGAGGTTGTATAGGACATAAATGTTTGACGGTAAGCTCGGAAGAATAAATTATGCAAACCCCAACTCTTTTCGCAGATATCCCTTTGCATGCAAGAATACATCTGCCATTGAAATATAAAAGATATGAGTTACTTTAATAGGCAAAGGAATACATCTTTTTATGTCACTAGTCTTGTTAACATTTATCAAGGAAGCAAAAGTGCAATATTATCAACGCTATGCTAATATGTAACTCAAATGAGAAATTTCAGTGTAAAGGTCAAATTTTATCCTTTTCTTTTTATATTTTGGATTTAAAAAAGGGATTTGCGTAAATGGAAACTATTAGAGAAGGGCCATTATCTTTTTTCTGTTTAAACAAATAGAACTCAGTGATAACAATAAACTCTTAGATCAAACCATTCTTTTTGGGTAAGAAAATTCTTTATTATTTTGGCTATGGCATGTGATGAATCATGCTCAGACAGTTGTATTGGAACATTCTTCCTTTTCTATTCCACAATAAACCAAAAACAATTCACCAGCTGGGTTGGATTCTTCTTAAATAGGCCTGTTTACTACTTGGCAATTGCTGGAAAAGGTCGCTCCAAAAGTGTGTGTCCATCATAGTCCAATTAGGTTCATTAGGTGTTATTCATAATTTAATGATTGTCACAGTCAGATGGACCTGTGTTTTTGTGTCATAGCTCGACATGTTTCGGATGTACTCCTCTGCCTTGCTCAGAACTGTCACACGACGTTGCTGTGATGTGTCTGGTCAGCTGTGGTTTGACTGGAAAATAAAAACAATATCAGCACTCCAGTCAAACCGCACATCAAACCCCAAGGACAGAATATGCCAAGGACACAAATGCAACACCGAATGAAATACCAACTTTGCCATGTAACAAAACCTACATAGGGGAAACTGGAAGAGTATTTAACGCCAGACAGTGTGAACGAGACCAACATATCACGCACATGAGCCATTAAACGGCAGGCAGAACAACGAGAGCTCAAGTCTGCCATTTCCAACTGAGGGAAAACCACCTAATCGATTGGGATGATGCTAAGGTCAGAGAGCAACAAGTATAAACATTGGATCAGGGAGGCCATCGAGGTCCGGATGGCCTCTTCCCACCAGACTGTAAATCAGTGCTTCTCAAATAGTGGGGCGCGCCCCCCTGGGGGGGCGCAAGGCTCCGTCAAGGGGGCGCGTTTGACCTCGGGGAGCATGCTTTTTTATTTTTTATTTTGATTTTTTTACTGTCTTAAGGGCCGTTCACACCAAAGCGTCAAAAAACGCCTTGACGCCTCTATTTGGAGCCTTTGCATTTGAGTTTAGACGCCCCCGACGCGCATCTTTGACGCCGTGGACGAACGGGACAAAAATACTTGACGCGCGTCCGTTGCCCTGGAAACAAGAGCCCGGTCCCGCTCTTTTCCCGAAAACAATGTCAGACCAGACTGATAGAGTGTTTTTATGACATAAAACATCAAAGGAGGAGATCGGGTCGACGACTGGGGCATGTTTATATTTACACTCCGCTAATGACACTGGATCAGTCCCGGTCTAGTCCTGGTCTAATACCGGTCTAGTCCCGGTCTAGTCCTTGTCTAGTCTCGGTCTAGTCCTTGTTTAGTCTCGGTCTAGTCCTGGTTTAGTCCTGGTCCGGTCCTGGTGTAGTCCTCGCGATCGGCTCGGTGATTGTGGCGTATATATTTATTCTCCGTTCATGTTTGTGGTTCTCGTTCTGGTTCTCGGGTTTTTCTTCCTGGTAATAACGTCGCTGCGTCTCTGGATACTCGTCCCTGATTGAATGACGCGGCGCGTCTGACGCGAAAAGTTCAGCATTTTCAACTTCTTGACGCTGACGCCTTGGACGCGCGTCTTGGCCGCTGACGCCAAAACGCTGAAGACGCCTGCGCTGACGCCAGATTCGCGCCGCGCTGACGCCGAAAACGCGCCGCAAAAACGCAGGACGCTCTAGTCGCGCGTCCACATAGACTTTACATAGAAAGTGGACGCTTTGACGCTTTGGTCTGAACGGGCCTTTAGAATAAAGTGCAATTGCACTTCCACTACATTAGGGGGCAGTGGCGCTCTCATTGGCAGAGTGTGCGAAGGGAGCATTCGCTCGGTGGTGTAGGAGTTTTGTTTGCACTGAGCATGCGCGCTTTGCACACAGCACAGAGTTTGAGTATGAAGTGTAGACACGAAGTGTAGCAGACCCTCAAGTGACACCATGAAAACATATTTAACAGGGATGAGAAGACAGGCGGAGAGAGACGGAGATAAAGAGACAAACGAAAATCTCCCGAAAGCTAAGACGAGGAAATATGACGAAGCGTATGTAGCGCTCGGCTTCACTGTGACTACAGTGGGAGACGAGGAAAGACCGGTGTGCTTACTGTGTCTAAAAATGTTGGCAGCCGACAGCATGAAGCCCAATAAATTAAGGGGTCACTTAAATACATTACACCCCAATCACTCTGATAAGCCGCTTGAGTTTTTTCAGCGAAAACGTGCCGAATATTGCCGACAATCATCCCGCTTTGTGACTGCTACTTCAGTAAACCAGCGAGCGTTGTTGGCGTCATAGAAGGTGGCAGTGTTACGCACAGGTGTACTTATAACAATTTTATAGACAAATGATACTATCTATAGTCACGCGGGGGGGCGCGAGATGTTTTATTCGTCCTAGGGGGGGCATGACAGAAAATAATTGAGAAGCACTGCTGTAAATCAAGATGAGGGGACCTACCAACTTTCTCATACCTGGAATACAGCTCGGAACAGTGTAGCCAAAACATATCAAATTATGACACAAAAATACTGGTCTGACCATAAGAATCAATTAAATTATGTAGCTATCATAGCCCACCGACATGATTTGTACCCATGACCCAGAATTTCCTCCTTCACCTTCAGTATTGGTTGGAAGAATGATGCCATTTCCAATGACGCAAGAGTCAGCATCAGTATCAGCATCAGCATCAGTTCAGTGTGTAATTAGGCCCAAGCTGGTGACATAAGTGCACTCACTCATCCTCTTGTAAACCCCTCTCACCCAAGACACAAATCAAGTCATGCACATCCCGCGCACACAAATAAGTATTGCACAAATCGAACAATATATTAGAGGCAAAGTATACACAAAACGAGTACTTCACGCTCACTCTGTATTACTGTCCAAATGAAAAACAAAGTGCATTTTATCCATTTGTACATGTATGTTTAAATTAATGCTGTTTCACAGTTTAGTTTCGTTCAAAACCACTAGTTATATATTTTTTAATTTAAAAGTACAAATGCTCCCAATGCCCCTTTATGCTTTCGTAATTATACCTTCTCATTTAATCTCCGTGTGCTCATCTCTTTCCACTCCGCATTTGCAGCACTTAGTTGGTTTTATGCTGATAAGTGAAAACACAACAGGACCACAGGCGGCTGCAGACTCCACAGTCTTTTGTGTATCGGTTTGTGTATCTCCTCAGATGCTCCGTCCTCTGCCATTGCGCTTAATTTTTCTCTCTTGTCATCCCCTGTTTCTTCAGACTGAATTTTCTGGACATATTTTATCTTCCTTCTAATTTGTCTTTCATCTCCCCATCCTCCTCTCGTCTTGAATGGATGGCACTAACTGGAACAACATGCATAATTAGACTCACTCTGACGGGTGCTTTCTAGTTATCACTGGCATCGTAATAGTTTAATCCTCAAATGCCATTTTGTGTAAATAATCTACCCATGATCTATCTCTACAGTAGGGCTGTAGAGCTGATTATTATTATTATTATTATTATTATTATTATTATTATTATTATTATTATTATATAATGTTCAGAATGATGGCGTGTGCTGGCCATCAAACCTGGAACCAAGCCTACTCCATAATGTTTTTTTTTATTTTATTTTAGTCTTTATGTTACAATTACTTAGGTGCTATAAAACCAGACACATTATGAAGACCTGCCCAGTATAGGAAATACCTAGTTTCAGATGGACCCTTATACCCAGCACACAACACCTGTCTCAATAGATACTGACCAGAGCTGAGAACACCCCACACGAGCCGCATCTTTGGCGAGGAGATCACTCAGTTGCCAAGCCTTTTGTCAGATTCACAAACACATCAACAACTTTGAGGACAAAATGTTGACTTGCTGCTTAATATATTCCACCCACCAACAGTTGCACAGATAATCTGTGTTATTCATTTTAATTGTCTTTGTTATGTATTTCCTGATCAATCAAATTTAAATCTGCTGAAATTACTTGAATAGAGTATAATGACCTGGTTCAAGATGTTTTTCCCCAAGTACAACTTACTTATTTTCATATTTCAGTCTAAATTCACTATCACAAATGCCATGAAACACATAAATAAAAGAAAGTCAATGTCATATAAGAGATAAAATCCAACATCTGAAATTAAGTCATTTTTGATGATTCATGTGTTTTTATCTGCTTTGTTATGTTCTTCACTTTGACCTTTCTTTTCCTCTCCAAGGTGGCCCTCCTGATGTGGGTAAGATGCTGGGAGGAGAGGAGAAGGAGGAGGACCCCGACGCAGCCAAGAAAGAAGAGGAGAGACAGGAGGCACTGAGGCAGCAGGAGGAGGAGAGGAAGGCCAAATACGCTAAAATGGAGGCAGAGAGAGAGTCCATGAGGCAAGGCATCAGAGATAAGGTGCGTAAACACTACAAGAACTGCAAATAAACAAGGAACAAAGAGAAACTCATGCTCCAGTAGTGAAGGTGCACTGTCCAGTACTGTTACTGTTAACAGTAGATATGAAAGCTGTCCTGTCTCCTGTATGAAAGACCATCAAAATCTAAAAATAGACAGACCCCTTCATTCTGTCTCTTGATAATGCAGCAGAAGTCTTGAGCAACAAATAACTAATTTAAAAGGAGGGGGAGGGTTGGAGACGATACCGTTTAATGGTGCTGATCCTCCTAATGTTCCAGACAGTGTGGTTGGATTAGGTTAGCATATTGTATAATTTGTATTTGCACTTATTACAATATTTATTTAATCCTTTATCTTGCATCTATCTATGCATGCTTATTTTATATTTGGTTAAATCATAGTTTTATTAATAAACTAATTTATGAGAACCCATGAAGGTACTAATTTTATCCCCTTGCCCATACAGTATGGTTTGAAAAAGCGTGAGGAAGCCGAGGCAGAGGCTGCTGCAGCGGCAGAGGAACCGGCTGCCGGGAGCTTGACTCGACCCAAACAGGCGGTCCCCAAAGGCTGCGGAGACGAAGAGGAGGAGGAGAGCATCATGGACACCGTAGTCAAGTACCTGCCAGGCCCCCTCCAAGAAAAAGTGACTGGGTGGCTCAAATGAGTGTTCTCTTTGTACATGACAGATGACATTGTTTGAATCTGTCTACACTAAGGTGGGCTTTTTGACACTTATCTCCCCTGTCGGTTAAACAAACTAAACAGTTGTTAAAACTATTGAAAGTCCCAGTTCATTTTTTGTCACACTGATAAAATTGTTGTGAGTATATAATTTAAAATGTATTTATTTTATCCCATGTTTTGTCCATTTTGCTTTTGTCTAACCGAGAGGGTAGAGATACCCATGTAGTTAAGAAATGTCACCAATCAACAAAGGGCCATACGAGACAGATTTGAGCCAGTAGTACAAATATTACCGTTAGATTAGGCTAGTCAGGCTAACTCAGGAGCCAGGTAGATGTTAGCTAAATGCTAACAGCAAGCAGAGGGACTAAATACATGTTGTAGCCTGAGATATTTAAACTCCTTTACCCTCTTGATTGCTGCACAGCTATAAAAATGCATAAAAATATAAATTATGCTGTTCACTTGGTTTGTACATAAATATAGCTAATATGCCTCAAGCAGGGCAAACAATCATTTACTATTATAATACTAAATGTGTGTCTAAAATAATAAAAGATAATGTGATAACTCGATAAGCCATATTTTAAAAGTTACCGTAATCTTGTGTTTTGTCATGACGTTGTTGAGGTTTTGCACACGCAGTACCCCTTTCTTTGTTGTACTGTATATAGTGTTGTCTATCTCCCTAGCACACTGTCTGAAGCCTCACGTCAGTGTTGTGTAGTAGTGTGTAGCAGTACTTTTTACTCTGCCACCTTCAGTGTCTTGCATGCCATATGTCTTGACATGTCTGTTGTGTGAGTATGTAAAGTCACTCTCCCTGATATTGTTTTGTATCATGCAAAATATAAGGCAATAATGCTTTGAGTTTGAGTGTGTTTCCACAGTTGTATGTATAAGAACAAAGATTAAATATGTATGCGTATTGTATTTATAGATTTGCTGGGTTTTGTTTTGTTGATTCAATAGAAATGAATTAGACAAGTGTGCTGTAGTTTGCACAACAGTACATAGCCAACAGATTTCAGCCATAAAGCCAGAACTCTCAGTGTCACATTTTATTAAATATAAAATTACTGGAAGATCGAGTCACTTATGATATATTTTTTTTTATTTATAACCTACTATGTTACATGTAATGTTAAAAACTGGTCTCTTTGTCGCACACAATAATTCAAAGATCATGTACGTTGGTTGAAGGAAAGTCACATGATATGAAATAAAATGCCATGAGCAATAAAGGGTTGGTTATCTTTTATGATTTTGCCTGAGAATAAATAAAGGGAAATCTTGATCACAAAATATTGCATTTTTTTTTCAAAAATATGCTTTATCTTTCACTGTAAGTGGGACACTGCAGCAGTTCCATTCAGTACATATAGCTAGAAAAAAGTGAATGCCTTTCATAACATTGACAAAAAATTGCAATGTCCACCCCTAACCAGGGGGTGTCACTGTTGAAGTTTAGCGAAGGACACTTGAAGCACTGTCCTGTAGACAGACATAAGACAGGAGAACATGGGTCAAGCAATCCTCCATTTATTGCTTACAAATGTTTACATCCTCTATATTCATCTTAAACAACACATGTAAAACACAAGCTGTGACAATAAATCAAGGATATGTTACAATGTAACCCTCAGTCATGCATCAGAAGTATTGTCTCTCAAACTGCATACTTTGACTGTCATTTGAGCAAATATTTGCTCATTTTGTATTGAGAGTACCTAGAAAAATAAAGATGATAAAATTACCTTTGTTTAACACTTAAATGCACAATGTTCATTTTAATGTATTACCCATGAGTATTTTAAACCACAACTCCAAACATGCATTGATTGCATTAGATCTAGCTGATTGTGACAACAAAAGCAGCACACAGTTTGCTCCAGTAAATTAACACAACAAACCTGCTTTAAGAACAACGCCTATATCAACTCTCGTGGTTGATATACAATTTGAGGATAAACTGCACATGTTACACGTGATGAAACTCAAGTGATTCTATTTTCAATGTTTTCTATTGTATTCTATAGTGCTGTAGATGTTCTGTGCAATCTTGTTTTTGTTTACTAGTTTTTACTTAATGTTTATATGTCTACAAATAAATACACCTGTGTGTGCAGTTTGTGGCACACATCCAAAAGGCACAATATAGCATATTCTAGAGTTGAAATACTTTTAATGAGGCTATGTGAACATTGTGATTGTATAATGGAGAATAAACCCTGCTATGTCACAGGCAATAAGTCAAGTTTTCGCTCCATTAAAATAACTCAAACAATGACACTTAAGTCGACTAAATGAACACTGCACAATACACAAATACAACACTTCTGTGTGCTACACTTAAAGACAATGTTTAAGGCACCGTTGGTAAGTCATCAGAAACCTGGAGAGTTTGAAACATTTGGAAAGAGGTGGCACAGGTCTGGAGTCCTGATTTTTAAACATTTGTCCGACATTTGGGAAAAATGGGTCCTCCCTCAAGCCTTCTCTTTCTTACTGCAAAGAAAATACAAAGACATATTTGGGTAATTAGTACAATCCACATTGTTGACATATCATTTTGCAAGATGACAGGAGAATATAGTGCAGAGAGGAAATATGCAGCACTGTACAAGATTAGATGGTTGAAATAATTAAAGTCTTAAAAGAATAAACAGTGGACGCTCAGGCCAGCAAATAGTTGAAACAGTGAAAAGCACACAACTGCCAAGGCCATATCCTGCAATCGAAGCTTATTCAAATGCATGTGTCCCCGTTTGTGGCTGGAGCTCTACTTTGCTAGTGAACAAAATACTTGGATCTATTTTGGGAGCTGTTCTTTAAACATAAACAAATAATTACTTATATTTGAATGTAATATTAATATTGCAATTATAATAAGAACATTTTGCATACTTTTCTATAGGAAACCAGAGCAATCAACAAATGGCATCATATACTTAGGTTATATACTTAGGATTGAATCTAATATTTGTTTAAAAATGCGAGTCTGATGTGTGTTACCTTTTATGTAAATAGTATAATTTTGAGTTAAAACAAAACAAAAACAAACAAAAAAACCTGCTTCTTGGCACAAGAGTCACCCAGACGCTCAGAGAGAACAGATGGTAGAAAAAGAGAGAAAATCTGTATCATTGTGCGTTGAGGAGAAACAGTAATCTGACAGGGCTGGAGGTGGCAGCAGATCCAGCTCAAGATGTTGGCAGAAAGAGAGAAAAAAAGCGATTTATCAGAATATTTTTTGTACTTAGTTTTAGACTTGAACTTTTTTCCGAAGGCTTTCTCCAGCTCTGGGACAGACAGAGTGAACGTGATGGAGCCGTCTGACTCTGACCTGACGACCCGGGCTTTAAACGACGAAAGACAAATCAGGATGCATCCAAGATAAGACACATTACCTCACTTTATTCTGTCATTTATAAACCCAGCTATTCCCCCTCTAAGTGCTGATGTCATGAGTGGAGAAGGCACTGTTTTGTTGTCTTTGGCTGGGTTTTCTGGCTCAAAACAAAAGTTACAGACCGATGAGATCACTGCTGTTCTTCTGTGAAAAGCTGATTAGGGTGCACTCAACAAGATGTAGTGAAGATTGAGAGTCCAACTTAATAGAAGTCAAGGCCAAATACATTACAACCAATACTATATATGGATATCTGGAGTGAATAAGATCATAATAAGTGTTTTGTAAGAAAGTAGAACTACGTACCCAAGTCATTGTTGTTCATCATAGCATTGGATCCTCTGAGGCGAGGGCCTTGTTGAGTGAAGTGGTAGCCAAACTTTAACAAAGTAGTGTTTTTCTCCAGCATGGCAGCGATCTCCATCTCCACCTTGTTACCTAATGGTTGGCTCTGGTGTAAGAAAGAAAAAAAGAATACACATGTACAATTACATAATGTGACAGAATACGTCCACTGTTACAAAATGCACATAAATGGGTATTGTGTGTGTATTCCCTCTGTCGTCCAAGTAGGGTCCATAGCAAAGGATTTAACAAACCATTGTTTACCATAAATTAAATCCTCTCTTCTGAGACATATTTAAAGTGCCTAAATGACACTTTTACACATTTTCTGATCTGTTATAATGTTGGTTCCTCATCACAAACATACATAGAGTTGTATTTTGTTTCACACATGTTGAACACACAAACCCTGCATATTTAGGCTGTGTCCTTCTTTCAAACAAAACACATTGTTCCACCTTGTGATGTCATGCGGTAATATAGGAAGTGTTCCACTATGTTTTTAAACTCCACAAACCTTCACTAGAATCATGTTGGATAATTTCAGAAGTGGGATTATCAGTCTCTAGTGAACAAAAGGTAAAAGACAGAAGTTAACTTGAAAACTACTACTACTGCTTCATGACATCACAAGATTCCTAACATTCTGAGGGGGCAGTTGCTCTAGAAACTAGAAGTCAAATTAAAACAGCATTTACCTGATTATCTATCTTGAGCTCCTGTAGTGTTGTATTGAACTGCAGTGACTCGACTAGTGTGATGATCCCAGCCCCCGTGATGAAGTTGGATTCCACATTGAGGCTTTTTAGGGTAGTGTTTACTCGTAGCATTTCTGCAAGTGCCTGGAAAAAAAAAAACGCACACACACATTTGAGTTAATAAAGTTCTTAGCGTTTTATATTGGTTAGTGTGTATTAACTGCGTGACCTACAAATGCTACTGGGTCATTACTCCTGGTACCAACGATGCTAAACCTCTCAACTACAGTGTTCTTCATCAGTGCCTCAGCATATGCCTTGAGTGTCGGGATAGGGATATTCTGGGTAAAGAAATAGAATAATAATAACATAATCTTATTAGGTTATTGGCTCTATTTTGAAGCCTCATGCTGTACCACTTACCCTGATGTTGTTGAGGTTGACCTCCACTAGCTCAGGGTCGTTCCTCTTCACTCTCATCAAAGTCTCCTCCACATCAGTCGAGTTGGGTTCCTCGTCTGGGACAGGTTTATACTGAGTGCACTGGATCACACCTACAGACACATTACTGTTAGTCAAATAGAAGCAAAAATATTCAGTAGTCTCACTAGTTCTACTTATCATTATTAAAAGTACTCCAAATTACCTGCTAACTATTAATAACTATGACACTCCAGTCGAGTCCGCCACATGTTGTCTTAATGTTGCTTTACCTTAATGTTCCACAGTATGGCTTTAACTTCTATCTCTATTAATGATTTCACTTCCTTTTAGGTATTTGACCATTCAAAAGATATATAATTTTGTTTTGAATTGTTAATTGCTGTGGCATTGGCGCTTTTTTCCCCATCACTCTGAATTCCATGGATAGAGTCAAGCAAGTGATACCTGGGGCTATTTACGGGCAAGATCTGTGAAAAGTTGAGCTCGTTCACAGTAAAGAATGCATTTTTTTTAAGTTTTTTTTTTTTTAAAGTATTTTTAAACATAAATAAATGCAAAATAATAATAATAATAATAATAATAATAATAATGTGGATTTATATAGTGCCGTTCAAGACACCCCAAACGCTTTACAATGCATTATTCATTTACTACACACTCAGTGGTGGTAGTGGTGTAGCCACAGCTGCCCTGGGGCAGAAGTGTCTTATCTCAGGACACAGTTTTCTGCCACTGGTGCCCCACTGTGGTGGTGTGATTTTCCCAGCGGTCTCCCATCCAAGTACTAACCAGGCCCGGCCTTTCTTAACTTCTAATATCTGAGGAGATCAGGCTTTGATATGCTGGTATGGCTGTGGATAGATAAGTTTAATGCCATATAGTGAAACATTTCAAAGACAAAGACGATAGCAGAGCCCACAAGAAAAGTTACATAGTGCACCTTTAAAAGACAACATAGGAATAACAAAAAAGTAAAAAAAAAATAATAATAATAAGTTTAAGAAATAACAAAATGTTCATAACGTGCAAAATTTTGATAAACATAAAAAGGAATATGAGACTATAAGTACTGCCTCTTGCATCCACTTGTAAAACAGGGCACACACAGTGACTGGATAAAGCTGTAAAATGTGTTTAGATAATCCAGACAAAGTGTTCTGTACATCAATGTTTCTGTTAACGTCACCATCTTTGTTTTTGTATCTGCCAATGTTTACACGAACTGGCCCTGTCGCTCTCCCTGTTTAGACCACAACTAGTCCTATAGCCGCTGTGCTGTGTAAACCAGTGCCTCATTAAAATGGGATGTGTGTGATAGGGCTCACTATTTCAATTCACAATTGCTCTATTTAAAGAATGGGTTCTCAGAAACTCTTCTATTAAGTGGACACAATGTAATTCCCAATAATATGATGTTAAGATAGCCTAGTTTTACCATTTTAACAAGCTGTGTACCTTTTGCTTAAAATACTTAGCTTCACAAATCAGTGTATGCTCCTGTATATGTGAAGATTTATATGATCGGCAAAGACAGCCCCAGAAGAAAAACATGCTGCCCTACAGTCTACAAAGTGTTACCCTGTTTTGGGCAAGGGCTACATACAATTGCCATATATAAGCTTGAATATATGGGTTTTCAATCATACATGTGTTACATACTGTTCAGTCCTTGTTTGTTCACAATGGTGCTGCTGGCCAAGGCTTCGTAGTATTGCTGATTACTCATTAGAGTGTGCATGCCCAGGATGGCTGCAAGAAAGAGAAAATTACAATGTTGTGGACCTAATGCAATATTAATGAAAACAAAGCTTATGTGCAGAGAAAGACCACCAACATATGAGCAAGCAATACATCTATTTCAAATTATCATCAGCTACTAATTTGTGGGCAATTAAAATAACAAATGTTCTCCCCTACATGCAAATGATTTTTGCTAATATGACTATAATACAAGTTACACAAGCAGTTTGCTTACAATTAAAGTTATCATGCTACATCTAATAACACTTTTTAAAGGTCCTATATTATGCAAAACTCTTGTGAGCTTTAAGCTATGGCAGGATGTTGTTACCTCATCAAAAACATACCTGGAGCTGTGTTATATTTCATCCACATATGTTTGAGTAACACTTTATTATCTGTTTCCATCTCCAAAGCTCAAAATACTCTGTTCCACCTTGTGATCTCATGAAGGGGTAGTTTTCAAATTAAAAGCTACTTTTTACATTTTGTTTAGTAAAAATTGGCAATTCAGCGGGTTAAATTATACAGTTGCTGATTCTAATGAAGGTGTATGGCTTTTAAAAACACTGTATTTTTACATAACATCACAAGGTGAAACAGTTTTTTTGCTTGAGAAAAGATCTCAACCTAAATATGAGTTTGTGTGAACATGGGAGAATGAAACAAAACACTACTCCTGGTATGTTTTGGATGAGGAAATAAGATAACATAGGTCAGAAAATGTCATATGGGCCCTTTAAGAATTCAACTTCCCTTGATTCGTGCTGATTCGTAGTTTTAACATTTTGTATAATTATAATCCTTTCTCATGCACATACTAGCATTTAATATTTAATTTACATTCTAGTTAGAGGTGTACATGCAAGTGTGGAGCAGACGGGATGAGCAAGGCTAGGCATGCAAGTGGAGCAGTTGATGTGCAGAGCTGATACCAGAGTGGTGCTACCAAACACAGGAGGGGGGATGGTATGAAGCAGTGAAGGAGGGTGGAGGTGAAGCTGGAGGACATGTACAGCAGGTTAGATCACATGGAGAAGGTGAATTTAACATTAAGAGCTGTTGAGAGGATCTTAATACTTAATACTTGCAATTATAAAAGTGATATGGGGATAAATAGTGGACAATGATTGGTTATTTTCTCTATATATGCAATAATAGAAAGTTGTTTACTTCATGATGTCTAAAATCTAACAGACTATAGTGTTATCATATTGCTAATTACACTTGATTTTGATACTAAGAAAAAGGCTTGATGCTTGATACAGATTTCAGTACCACAATGATAGCAACATATTATTTCTATACATCAGTGTCTTTAATATCACCATGCAGAATTACAGTAGTTCTGAAATAGATTCAAAATCATAAAAACTTCTCATGAAAGGTAAAATTTTGTCTGTAAATAATGTTATTCTGTACTGATACCTTCTCAAATGAGTTCTAGTTTTTGCATCAGTATTTGGGTATCAATTTTTTGACAACCCTAGAACAAAACATAATACGTATTATATTGTACACTGATTTACCACAACCTGTGTAGTATAAAAGTAAATTAGACTGTATATTGTGTAGTTTTTACCTGCAATGTCACATAGTTCTGCATCAGTAGCACTTGCGAGGGCCTCCTCCAGCTCTGGCTCCAGCTCCACAGACTCTATGATGGGATCCACTATTTTCTTTGGAACCCAGGCTTTCCCTGTTCAACCCATTAACACACAAATATACTTTACAACAGTGGCAGGCAAAGCTTGAATTGTAAAAGCACATAGTAAATCCCCAGCTTCTGTTGGCATTGCCCTGTTACATAAGAGTTACATGGTCTGAACACTTCCCACGTTTGACCACTGTCTATTATCACGCCCTGGCTGACAGGACTGCACCGGGTGCCTCTGTTAAAGATTTGAGTTAGGATGAAACAACTCAATCTTGATTTACTTCAGCAATATAATGCACTTCAGAATTTGTTATTGTGACAGGCCTACTGTTTGGGCAGTTTTCCCAAGAATATTAGTGATCACTGTGCCTGATTGGATGAAGTACTTTCTCTATCAATTATTAACCCAAAAAAAAACCTGTAATTTTTCCTCCTTTAGCTGTTCTTACAATACAATGCATGACGTAAAGAGCATTTATATTGACTAGAAAACATTAAGGCTATGCTATAGGCTATACACTATAATATTTGTTCCTCAAAACAATAAACTATATTTTGTTAGAAGAACTTTTTAATGAGCTGTCTCTCCCACTCCCACTTCTTGTTATCCATCATTATTATGTTACTCGGGGAAGATCCTAAGTTTTAGACATTCATTTAATAAACTCTTCCTGCCACATTGAAAAACGTGGCAGGTCCAAATTGAAACTGTATAGTGAGGCATTACTTTGTGAGATTGTCTGCAATTGTTGTCAAAATATTATTTAGCTGGTGACATGCAATTAAATACTGCAAAATTGTGCCTAAATGTGGAAATTTTGTCTGAATTTGAAGGAGATTTTTCAAAACTACAAAAACGTGAATATTTTAGATTCCTACACATTTGCATATAGTATTTGCGTGGTTCTGATGGTCACACCTCTTTTCTCCCCAGTGAAGGGCACCAGGTCCTCTCTGTCTGGATGCTCTTTGGCCTGTTTCTCCAGATGAGCCAAAAGATTGTCTCTCTGAAATGTTCCTGTGGGAGCTTTCTTCGTCTGGTCTTTTTGCCGTAACCCAGCTGGCAGCAAGGCATTCTAGGAAAAAAATAAATGGCTTTGAAAAACTGTTTGTTTTTTCCCATTTTATATTTTGAAAGATGAGTCAGTATTCCATAGTTGATTAAAACAGTGGCTCTCAAATTTTTCCATCTTGAGTCCTGCCAAAGCTTTGTCTCACACTCCAAGTATCCCCTCACTCAAAGAAAATATGCTTTTTAGCATATTCTCATTTACTATTATATATTTGTTGTCATGTCATTGGTGTCAAAAACGTGAAAAAAAAAATTCAAGAATTCACAATTCACATTTTATAACCTGAAACCGCTCAGAGAACCCCCAGTATCCCCATATCCAGTGCCATGCTGCTGGTACTATGCTTCACCTACATTAAATTCATAAGATCCACATAGTACAAAACATTTTCGGTAAGTGCTCTGTCTGTTATGAACCTGTTACAATGCTCAAATCTAAAAGGTGTCACATATAGCTTCAAATCTTATCTGTTCACTCAATACTCTCAAGACAGCTTTTATATTAGTGTTAATGTCTAAGTTTGTTTTTGCTTATCCCAAATACATTTTTTTTTTTTTTTTATGTTTTAAAAAACAATTCATAAGTAAGGAAGTAAAGTAAAGATGTTTTTGCAGCAGAATCTTTGTGTCATGTTGATAATTTCAGAGGCAGTTGTTAAATGTTAAAAGTATAACAGTATACGAGTTATTATTAGCAAAGCCCAGAATACAATCATGTTGTTGCCAAACGTTTCATGTCACATAGTTACTCTATCTCTACTCCAGACAACACTGCCACCATGTTATTTTTAACACGAGACACTTGTAGTTCTCTGACAGAAATCTAGGCTATTGTACTAGCCAAACAATATTTAGGTATGTATTCTATACAACATATCTGTATAGCATAGCATTATGTTTTGTTTTTTTCTACATTTTTTAAATTAATAATTTAAAATTTTAATTAATTAAAACTAAACTAATTAACTAGAAGACATACTTAAAATAATAAAATTATAAGATATCCCACTCCAAACAAAATACTATTACTGACAGAGGATTAGCTTTAGTCTTCTCATTAAAAAAACCTGAACTGATCAATCCTTAAAGATTTGAAAATACTGGATCCCTGAATTGCACAGCTGTAATTAGACTCATAAATGTACAAATACATTCATAAAGGCAATATGCAGTGAAAAACTAAGACAAACCCAAGCACTTCAAGTGAGACCAGTGGATGATGCTAAATCCAGCTATGACTGAACCCATCCTAAACAACAGCAGCTGAATGCTCTGTTCTGAATGACTGGACTGTTTTCAGAGGCTTACTGGAAGTGATGTGGGCCACTCTGCCAAAAAGGTTCACGATGCTCTAAACGAAATGGGCACTTAGCTGTTGTGAAATATAGTATGCATAGCCCATAAACACACACACAGAGGGCACAGCTGGGTTTACTGTATGCACGTCACTAAGGTCTCCACTAGCCCCGCTCAGTGTTGGCATCAGGCACACATATACTATGAGCTAACACATGCACTAGTCCTGCTTTCCCTCACTCATCCTGTTGGCATTGGGGGGGATTCCAAACTCTTCAGAGTGAGTGGGCATCCAAACAAAAGATATTACTACCACCGATTATGAGTTCTGCATTGGACACATCTGAACTACTGAATAACGCACAAAATGACATAAATTTAAAATGTTAAGATTGAGGTTAAGGAAGGTGTACTTATTGTGTTGTATAATTTTATTTTCAGTATTTTTAATCAATTTGGTATCTTAATTTTATTATTTAATGTCCATTTTAAATAGTTTTTTTATCTTGATCTTTGACCAATTTGAAAATGTTTGGTTTGAAGTGTGTAATGTACCACATTCTCTCAGACAACGTTAGTATTCAATATGAAAGCATTAAAACAACGAGGAGCCATGCGTTATGCAGTTTTAGATTTTTTTGTATAACACCATGACGCACAGCAAAATTTATATCATGGCTACAAACTGAATTGTCTCACCTGTAAATGAGAAAAGCCTCACATTGACTGTAAATAAAAAATTATTTATGTGTTTTAAATTAAACTAGTCCCAACCACCTACTCAGAGCCTCTGATCATTTGTGTACCTGTTGCTATGGTGATGGCAGCAGAGCAGTGATATAGAATGTGATTTAACTGTTGCCGGACTACTTGTGCGTTATGCAGTATTAATGCAATTCTCACAGGACCGTGGTATAAATATAAATGTTTATAGTTTAAATTAATTGCCTAAGCAAACTTAAAAAGTGATAAGACATATCTAGTTACTATATTGATATTTCTAAAGATTTGTTCTGGTGGTAAACGTATAGAGAATTAGGGTCAAATGACATATCAGCTGCCACTGCACTAATAGCGGAGAAACTATTTACGCTACTGCCATTCGTTATTAAGGGGCTTTAGGGGAATTAAAACATCTTTCGCCTGACACAGTTTGACAGGCTTTAAATAACCAGCTCCCTACTTTCACAAAATAACAACTCAACTTACTCCATGCAATGTAAAATATTGTTTCCTTATTTCTCACTCACATCAGGATCCAGCTCCTCTAGTTCGTCCTCTAATCTCTGTAGCTCCTCCTCTGACAGTTTCTTCAGCAGCTCATCTTCATCGATATCCCGGTATTTTTCCATCTCCTTCCTCATCACCGACATGATGGACGGTGCACCTGGAAACACAAGGTTTAGCTGAAAAAGTGGAATATGGATCTAATATACACCGCAGAGACCACCTAAGACACTAAAATGATTCTCTTACCTCGGTAACCCCCTGTGAGAAGATAACACTATAAATATGGGGGTCGGAAGAGGGCCCCAAGGATATCTGAAGGTGGAAGAAGTGGAGAAAAATAAATCAGATTTGGTGTAATGGAAAGTATGAGTTGAGAGATGATATAAAAATGGTATGGATAGAACTCACCCCCCTCTCGATGTGCAAAGGCAGCCAAGTGCCTGAAGCTCTACAAAACATAATAAAAACATATAGTGGGCTCTGTGGACTCCAAGGTAATATTTTTTCACGTCTAGTGTTATTTGTTAATAGTTACATGTATTACTCTGTTCAGTTTAGTATCTAAACTTTTTACAACAAAAAGTTTATACACATTTACAACAAAGAGTGTGGACTCTGTGGACTTTGAAGTGAATTAGTAATGAACTAAAATAAAGTGGTATAGCTTGTATTAATTATGCTGTGTGATTATAACTTGAAAACTATCTCACATACATGACATGGTACATTTGTGCAAGGGCGCAGTCATCAATAAAAAAAAAAAGATTCATGAAAAAGGAAGGATGCTTTAGCTATTGCACTGTTTTCAACCTTTTTAGGTATTCAACACACCAGTTGGAAAGATGCTATGGTACACTGGCTAAAACTGCACTAGCAAATTTGCAGTTTGGTGTCTTTTTTGATTCAGAAGTTTGTTCAGGTCATTCAAAAATGTGAAGTTATTACAGAGAATACATGTGTGAATATGTTAACTCAAACAATCTATTCTCTTATAACAAAACAGTTAAACAGTCATTTGCCTTTTACTTTCTCCAAAAGTGACAGGAGCTAGCACGTAGCCCATCCACAATTGGCAATATAAACGAACTCTCCATTCTTTGGGTTGTATCCTGACCTCTTCTCTCTTGAAAAGATGTCAGAGCGTCTCTGCTTATTTTCTCACAACACTTCAAGTCAACCAAAGATAAACCAAATATCTGGTTCAAATGCATACTTTGACTGTTCCAGATTCTCAGCTGCTGGTGTGTATAGATCTGTTATCTGGTTTGTCAATCGCCATTGGTCAAGCATTTGTGGGTCAAAGAATCAAACCCAGGGCAATTACAATGTGTCCAAACAGTCCACAAGGCCTAGACCTACTTTTTCAAATACCAACTCTATTGTGCAATAAAGCCACAGTACGGAACTTGTCTTGTGGAAGGGTCCATCACCTGCTTGTCTCCGTGAAGATGTTGCTTTGCCAAGCTTAACACTTTCACAGAGGCATTAACTGTCCTTGTATGTATACATGTTTATTCAATTATAGGTAATACAGGTAGATTTTTTTTTGTTATAAAAACACCTCAAATCAGTGGGATTGCCTGTTTGTCTCCATGGAGATAGATAATGCTATAGTCTGGAACATTCCAGGAAACATCATAACATCCCCACAGGGAATCAGGTGGCGTTCCCCCCACCTTAAAAGTTACATACTGCACTTTTTAGCTTTATACTACAGAGTTTAAAGTTTGCTTTAGCTCACCTCCTAAGTGGAGAGTTTGCGTGCTGTTGTTGTGCTCTGCTTTGTCTTAGCTTCACAAGAAGACAAACTCAAAAGATGAAGAGGTGGGCTGAGCGCCAGATAGCACAGCAAGTCTTCTGGAAGAACCTCTGATGAAGTCCAACAGACCTGCAACATTTCAACAAGTCAGTGCAGCGTTACAATGTCCACAGGTCACAAAAGAGCACAGCACCCTCACACAGACCCTTACAGATTGGTCTCTAAGAATAGCACACACATTATTCAAGTCAGTGGTGTGTGAAAGGGATGTAAACGAGTGCAACTTAGAGATAAGACATTTGCAGATAAAGTTTAATTTGTGTCCAATGAAATCTATTCTATAAGTACCAAAAGAACAAGAGAGAGAAAATATAAGTGCTAATACACAGAAAGGAACAACTTGGGTCAAATGCAAGAATTTCACTTTTGCCTCCTCTCAAGCATTGATTGCAAGCAAGTTCACAAGCCAAAATTCAAGATCACCTATTCCAAACCATAAAGTAGGCCATTTGTGTAATTTGATTTCTAATAGCCTATAATTCAAACGCTGGTGACACTTCTGTACTGAGATCATAAATTAGAGAAATTAGGTCACATGATATGACAGGCCATAGGCTCAGTGTCATTTGGCTGAAACGCATTCGATTAGGAGGCGGCATTAATCACACTGTAAGGGCAATCTGAGTAAAGGATTAAGTGTGCACAGAGGGCATACGACTTTAAAAGGGAAAACCACAAAAGCCAATAAAACAAAAATCATCCTTTGTTTTAAGCAAATGATGCCTACGCACAAACTTTAGCCCAGAGCATTTGAGCAACTTTTTTTCAACGTTGAAAGTTACAAACACCATGTACAAAAGTCTACTATGTATTTTTTCTTCATTGTAAGTTGCATGCGTTTCCGTACCTCCTCCAGCACTATTTATAGCCGGGCGTCCCGCCGGGTGACAGGACGAATACTTTGACCAGATATGGTTTCCTCCAGAGCCGAGAGGAGTCCGGACGCTAAAGCGGCTCTTCTTCCAGTGCACAAACCAGTGTTTCAAAACTGCGCAAGACGAGTCCCAGGCCGCGCTGTGGTCCGAAATTCAACTAGTAATACCGGTCATATCAGTGCTGTTGTGCTTTAGATGGGAGCGCAAGGACTGAATCTCATCTCCCACTAAGGGCAAACTAAACTTACGGAGGCGAAGATCCTCCTCCCGCCTGCCCCCCGCGCGGCTGCCCTGTCACTCTGCTGATGTCATCGAGTGAACCTACGGCCGAGCAAAACCAGAGCAAAACAACGCGACAGGAACAGCCAAAGCAGGCTGAAAGCACGATAACAGCAACTCAATCAACTTCAACGAATTAGTTTTTTTTTTTTTTAATAGAACGAGTTAATTATGAACTTACATTAAGTAAACTACTTTTAACAATTTTGATTCAAATAGGACTCAAGTATAGGGATTAGTTTAGTTACCTTGAATAACACTATTTAGACAAAATTAAGAGCCACACAATTGCATGCAAAGGACCAAACAAAGTAAACCAAAACATTCAACACACGGGTGAGCAAACATATGCAAAAGTCACAATACTTCGACAATTTACAGCAAATGGCAAAACAGAAAACATTATAACTGGTCTAAGTTTCCAAGGAATAGTAGTAATTACCTTTTTTTTTTAAATAGAACATTAAATTTACAAACAAGTAGCTGCTTATCAGTAAAATGTAGGTCTGAATATTTTGAACTGTAAATAAATCCTAAGCTGCCATGGTCAATTCTCCGCCAATACCAGCCATGACAGTATGAATCCACAGGTCTCTGTCCCCCGCTGTTGTGTCCACCAGGTACACAGTGAGCCTGCGCTCCCACGGTGCCGCCCTAATGTCTGGAGCCTCCTGGACACTCTCCACCTGAGCAACCAGTGCACGCTTCTCCACATGATTTCTGAAAACCATGGACGCCTCTTCAGACCACTGGAGCTGTGACAACCCTGAAGAAAAGAAAATGTATCACAAACAAGGGATGCTTTGGGCCTGGCATACATTTGAGATCCAGTAAAATGAATTGTGATTAAACCGACCTGCCAGTTGAGCTGTTATGGCTTGAAAAGGCAGCTGTCGAAATTCTTCAATCAGAGGTTGAATTGCTGTGCTTCGGACCAACTCATGTTTACCGTGGTCCAACTCATAGATGGAAATCAGCCCGTTTGATAAAATTCCTTTGACAAGCACTCGATGCCAGCTTTAAGGAAAGCAACAAATGTATGTATAAATGTGTGTTTTTCTGTAATGTCAGTATCAAGTGGATAACTGCAATTAACTTACTTTTTGTTAATTTTAGCAGCATAGACCTCTCCTTTCTCAATTTCTGTCTGTGAGCTAGTCTTGGATTTGTTGTAGTAAAGAACCATTTCACCCATCAGCACCACAAGTTTGTGCAGATACTGCCATGGCTGCAGCACAAAGTAACCTGGGTGACAGGCCACAGGCACAAACACATCCATGTTTTGACCACACTAAAAAAAAAGTTTAGCTTGTATTTATACACGTATGCACATTATTCTGTGTACTAAAATGTATCTGTTACCTGGGGAAGGTCCAACAGTGGAGGCATTGACAGGAAGTCTGTTTTGGAACTTGTATACTTTACAGACAGATCCTCTTTTTCTAATCCAGTTGTCGTTTGGTGGGCATTAGCTAAAGCAGGTGAACTGCTGAGAGTCCATCTCTCCACAAGTGCACTCAGCCCTACATGTATATAAAAAAGCTTGACTGATTGACTAAGGTTATTTTCACACCACAGCTAGCTATGTCAATGTAAAATGGCATTAGATTTGAGGGCAGTGCGCTTGGGCCGATGTGAACCCAACACTGAAACGGCCGCTCCAAGAGCACTTGAAACAGGTGTTTACAGAGCAGCTCCTCACGTAATCTGTAGTGGGGCGGGGCGAGTGTTGCATGAAAGACTGAATTGACATACACATTTCGTGGTGCAAGTGAAACTGCTTTGAATGAATATTTGCATGAACAGTCAATGCAAAGTTAGCAATTTGACACATTTGTCTGACAAAGCAATTTGGATCAACTTAATACCAGCGACAGTTCTCCCTGTTGAACAGGTGAGCTGGGGTCTGTCCGCATTTAGACACAGGTGGAGGAAAAAAAAAAAAAAAAAAGACCTCCACATATAGCACCAGTGAAATGAGTATATGTATTCACAGGGCTCTGTTTGCTTGAAGCTTGTTGTCATGGAAATAAATTTGGCAGTCAGCTGATGGTCTCTGTGGCTTATGGTGCATGTTTGGGGTGAATGACACATGGTCAAAGTGAAAAATGACTGACCCAAAAGTGAAGTAAACAGAACTAAGTCTAGTGTGCACTGGGACTACATAGCAGAATGCAGTAATGAGTGAAAACAAACCAAAACATTACCTTTGTCTGTCTTGCAGTTGTTTATCTGTTTCATCAGAAGCCTCTGCCAGAACTCTGACAGGGCGATCTGATTGTTGACACTGTTTTTTAAACCATCTCCAAGGAACAGGTGCATGTAGACAAGTCTGTTTCCATTATGATAACCTAATTTGCGGATCTAAATGTGAAGTAGTAGTCAATAAAGATAACTCTGTAGTATAATTATACATCGCCATACCGTCATTTTAGCAGCTTCGGCACCAAGAACCATTTCCTTTATCCATTTGACAGCCTCTGGATTCCAGCCTCCCTCTGGCACTTGAACATCCTCAAGGCTACATTTGATGGCCTAAAGACCACAAAGTGTCTCATTTTACTGTCTAATGCTAATTAGACAAGGAATGTAACAGTTTCGGTTCATAGATTCAGTGTTAAATCAGCGTCATTTACTTAAAAGCCCTCCTAGTCTTTTCACTGCTATTGGCATGTTTCCTACAGATGACATTTGTGTGTTGGATGTAATTTAACCAAGAATTGTGCAGATAATTGTGTAACATTCTACTATTCAGCTTAATCAGTGTTTTTTAACTCTTGTACTTCAAGCTTTATGTTATGCAGTTACACTCCTGTCACCTCTGTACTTTATCACCATTTTTAGTGCTGATTAAGGAGATGTTTCAACAAACCTGAGGTGGGATGATGATCAAGTCTTTGAGTAAAGGTGTGGGGATCTCTCTAAGCTCAGTCACTTCAATTGTAACAGTCACTCCAAAGTCAATGAATAGAACCTCTAGAACCCTGTTGCCATAAATATTGGTGACCTAAATAGAAACATTTCACATAACCTTTTGTTAAAAGATTATTGCAGAATTTACTTTTTTTTTTTAAACAAAAAATGCTCAATACCTCTACTCTTGACCATTTCCCTTTGTAACTTGCAAGACATAGCTTTCCAGTGAATGGTCTGGAGACCAGAGATTCTGTTGTTACCTAAAAAAAAAAAAGCAGATACATAGGAAAAGTATAGTGGATTTTTAGAGGCATCTACCTGAATTTTGAAGAAAGCTTCAGTTTCCTCCAGTAACTTAGTGAGCCTGGCCATTCCTCTGGATGGTAGCTTGCAGTAGATAATGCCATCAGCACATACATTTGTGACACTCACATCCTGATATGTGTCATTTATCTGGGGATGAACACTTGGTATAGTAAATACATTACAAATTATTTTAATTCAGTTTTGTTAAGTGCACTTTTGATGCTAACAGTGAGAGGGTTGTTCATGGTCTCGTCCTGCAGAGCTTTCAGACAGCTCGAATTTATGTTGATGTCTTCATCCTGTGAAGTGTCATACAACACCACAAGAGGAGTTTTATCGTGTTGACAGGGTTCCAGTGTCTCCATCAGAAGAATCTTTCCAATGGCCAGTGTCTCCAGGCTGGAGCACTGAAGGGTGTGAGCTAAAATGTTCAAGACCTAGAAAGACATTTACTTCAGTGTTTTTCACGGCAGTTTGAAAATTGCACTGATGCTTACCTGCCAATTTAACATTGATAGCTTGAAATGGCAGAGAGACAAAGTCTTGATGTAGCTCGCGGAGATAATGTGTGCTAGTCTCTAACGAGCAGCCATAGTCCAAATAATACACCTAAAATAAAAAATACAACGTTTTAGAAATGAATGTAACATACCATCAAATACTGACCTCGCTAAACTCACCTTAACCTTTTGTGGATTTATGACCTCCATGACCTGTGCTCTGGCCACTTCATCATCATCTTCTCCTTTAATGGCTACAAGCTGCCCAATCATTACCTTATTCAGAGAGTAGCCAGTCAATCTTTCACCATAAAAGCTGCGCATTGCTTCCTCCATGGCTTCCTGGGCATTTGAGTAGTTTTTGCCAACATATCTGAAGAAAGGCATTTTTGAGTGCATGCTCTATAAGTGGAATTTTCAATTTGGTCTAGCAACTTATTTTGATCACTGCATTATAAACTTGTTACAACTGATTTATAGACCAACTGCAGAGGGACATGAAAGTGTATGGATTTATATTCTCTGGCTCTGTCATTATAAACTCTCAGTATTAATTTACATTCTACATATAATCTATGGCTGTCAATGTTAACTGTGATTTATCTTAATGTTTTAAATTATTGACAGCATTAGTTAATACTATTACATTATTAACTAAAAAGTGTTTGAGTTCCTAATTTATAACGAGTATAAATAAGCTGTATCCATTATTTTCTACCTGACAGTAACAGCATTGCTGCCTTTGGCATCAGTAATGAGAACTGATGGGTACTGCTCTGAGGGAAAAGTCAAACGTGGAGGAGCGATGGATCCCACAACCTCCAAGCCTGAAGGGAGAGGGTGGGCTTGCTCTTCTGGGGTCTGCAATTCATCTCGGGCAGAGTAATACAAGATTGCCTAGTACCAAAATAAAAAATAGAAGTGGTTATATACAAGTGATATGAGTGGAACCTGATTTTATCATATTTAAAATTTTACCTTCTTCTTGTCATTGGGAAAAGGGTACTCCACACTGCAGATGTCCAGCCAGAGAGACAAGTCATCAAGAGCATGTTCAGGGAGTGGCATTTTGTATGTGTCTTCAAAGAGCTTTGGCACAGCCTGAACCCAAAGACCACTGCTATACTTGAAGAGAAGTTCCTTTACTTTTTGTCGTACATCTTCTGAAATTGTGCTTGCAGAAGCTACTTGGGGAGTCTGAGGTGGTGGATCTGACTTTGTGTTGAAAGTAGCCTTCAAGAGAGAGAGGATGCCAGGACTAGGTTGGACCAAAGGAGTTGGGCTGGGAGGTGAAGGCCGGGTCCATGAGATTTGGCCAAGAGTTTTAGGTGGAAGATTAGAACAATCCCCCGCACCAGAGTTGATAAATTGAGGAGCCAATGCTGGATTCGGAGGACTGCGTAAACCGACATCATGCAAACCTTCTCTACTGGCCACAGGAGGAAAAACAAAGGTGGGTTTTGCCATATTAATTTTGGGAACAGGCGCTGGAGGCTTCTCTGGAGTTGAAGCATGGGATGAAAGAGGTGTGGAAACTGGGCTTTTGGGTGATACAATTGGAGCATTGGTATTTCTGCATGTTGTAGAAGGAGGTAGTGGGGGGTATATCAAACGATCAGCTCTGTTGTTGACTGAAGGTTTCTCAAGCTGTTGATAAGGGTATATATATATATATATAGATATATAGATAGATAGATAGATATATATATATATATATGTGTGTAAACTGTTATTTTAAAACCTGTGACACTATACTACTACTGAGCTATATTGCAGACTTACTGAGCAAATGTGTGTCCACTTTTCCAGCTCCAGAAGGGTCTTGGGATGGGGAGCCTGATTAAAGATTTTATTGTAGACTGCTTCTAATTTGGACATCCACAGTCCACTGCTATATTTGTTCAAGACTTGAGAGAGTCTGCTCTGCTCCCGCTCCAAGTTAAAATCATTTGGCTGCATGAAGAGATAGTATTTATTATTTAAATGCTTCTTTCAGTGGGAACATTATTTTTCTCTGTTTCTTACATTTATTTCAACAATGTAGTCTTTGTTGACTTGTGTTGTTGAGGTAATTTCCTGAGTGGGAGATTTGACTTCAGAAAAGACAAACAAATAATGGTTTTACAATACAATACAAAAAAATTAACTTAAATGTGTATAAAAGAACTTAGCAACCTGGGGGCCTTTCGTTTACTTGAAAGCCGTTTACTGTGCTGAAAAGGTGATTATGTGTTACATACTAGTTTTATATGCATTTCATTTAAAGTTACCTGTGAAAGTAATATGTCAGTAACTCACTTGTCCATTGAATAATTTGCTCTGACTAGTTGTTCAACAACTGGAGGTCTCTGGTGCACAGGGAAGACTGAGCTCCACCGAGGGTCCTGCTTTCTATCATTAATAGAGTAAGAAAATTTTTTTATAATATGATATGATATATATATATATATGATATATATATATATATATATATATAATATATATATATATATATATATATATATATCATATATATATATATATATATATATATATATCATATTTATTTATTTATATTTATATAAAAAAACAAAACAATCCCTCCACTCAACCTGACATCTCCCGACGTGCTGAAGCCTCCATAACCTTGAGCTGGCCGTCGGTTACTGGTCCAGTTGGATGGCTGCCGAAGAGATGTCTTGGGTTTCACTAAACAATCACAATCAGGTCAGGGTCATTCATTTGATATATTATTTAAGATTACTTAAAATTATATATACCACAGCATAAAGTGCAGAACATCCAGAGAGTAAACACTGCTAACAGACTACCTACCATTGAGGGCGTAAGGGTTAGAAGGTTTAAATCTCATCTTGCAGTTGACAACTTGAGATCGTCCAGCTTTTTTGGAATTTTTTTGCCGTGCCACCAATTCAGCAATATGTGCAGTTTCTTTGCACACAGTTGCAAAACATACAAGCTACAAAATATGTATACATTTTAATATATTTTGTGTTAATATGCATTTCGTTATTTAGTCTTCTTGATCAAGTAAAGCCCTCACAAAGTCCTGACGAGACTCCAGGCGGACTACAGATGGGATGCTGCGGAGATAGTCCTCCAGGTTGGAGAAGCCCAGTCTTTTCAGAGGGATGGTCTCCCCACAGAGTGACCTGTACTCTTCCTGCAGGCTGTTGATGGCCACACCGTTTTTACTGGACTGCAGCACAGACCTCAGCAGTTTCTTTACGGATTCACTGTCCGCCATACTAAAAACACTTATGTTAAAATGACACAAAATACGTTTTTATGAGGGAGAAAAACACGTTATTTTTCAAAAGGCTTAAATAGATTTTACACATTATGGAAATAATTTATTTGTATAAGCAAGGTGTTGTTTAGCATTGCCATGAGTAACGTTAGTACATAAAAAGCACACTAGCATAGGTATGCTAAGGCTATCTTCGCTGCCGTTGACACGCGGTACGGTTTGATCGGCACTTTCAATGCACATCACCAAGCTCATAAAACAATAGATGGAGAAAACAGTTAAATTAAAATTTATGAATTCAAAGTTTTAGATCAAAGAAGATAACAGCAAAAGACTCTCACCTAAAATGATGTTGATATCGCGCCACCCGCTCGAGTTGAGTCGGAGTTCAGACCGCGTTCATTTGACATCGGAAGGACTAGGGAGGGGTACGTGAGCACGTGATCACCCAGAGACTTATTCATTGTATTTCTAATTTGACCAAAAATATAGCAAAAATGATTCTAATCGTATAATTTCAAGTGACCTTCTAATCATATCACCATGTAATTTTGAAACTGCTAAATATATGAGATATGTTTGTGTACTGACAACTGACCTGTGGGTGCTGCTGGAGACAAACAGGGTCAACAACATGCAACATGTCAATCATCTGTAAATCGAAAAGTTATGGTTTTCAAGATGTTTTTTGTAACAGTAAAGGAATTGTAGGGTAGGCAAAACAATACTTTCAAGCTGTATAAATGCATATAAACAGGATACATTTCTATTTTTTATTGAAAGTCTTTAGCCATTTGACCATGAACTGGAGGCTATATATGGCATAGGTCCTGAAAGGTTCTATATTAATTCAATGCATTATTATTATTATTATTATTATTTGAGTAAATTTGTGAAATACTGAGGTCTGCTACAAATTAACTGTAGATTAGACAACAGACAACATCGGCAAAAACAACTTGGCAACATGCTTTATTTAGCTACAGAAAGTAAAGTAAATTAAAAGTGTCTGTAAAATTATTAGCCCATTAAAAAAAAAAAAAGAGAAAAAAAAATCTATTGTAAAATGATGCTCTGCTTTTTGTATCACACCCATTGCTTGTTTGTAAAGCAATGATGCCCCTTTAGACTGATGTGTGACCGACCAGGGAACAGGCCAGAGCAGCTGCATACACGCACTATCAAAGAGCATATAATTGTCTCTGGGATTGGTCAGGCTCTTCAAAAAAAATAAAATAAAAATCCTCTAATTAGGAAAAATGGAATAACAAACAAAACCATGTGGTTAGTTGTAGCGGTGCTTGTGTACTGTATGGATTATCTAGCGTTTGTCTCTGGTGCAGAGTCTATCTGTGTATCAGCTCCACTCTTCTGAGTTTGAGAGGCCAGGACCACGGCCTTCACCACTGTGTCTGTACAGGAGGAGGAGGTGAAACATGAAGCTGTAGAAAGGTGATGTTTCCTCAATAGAATTAGGTGCGGGTTTCTCAATAAAGTATAATATAACGTCCAACGTCTACGAGTCCTGTTGTTCACCAATGGATCTGGAAAATGAACTGATATTTATAGACGCAGGAAGCAATGACAATGGCTGGGTTTCAGATGACATCATACAGTAACTTACTATAGGCCAGTATTATTTAATACAGATGGGGGGGGGGGGCAGCTAAAATGAATGTTGGTAAAATGTAAATTATATTGTAATAAAGTGTTTACCTTTTGGCTATTTCATGGCAAACAATGTAATGAACCGGGACCCCACCCCACCCCCCCATCTGAGACTATGACATCATCATCATGTCATACTTCCAGATGGGGGACAAAAAACTGTTTTTCCTATTAATTATTTTGTATTTTGCCATGAAATATCAGAAAGGTAAATTCCCAAATGTCAAACCTTATCACTTCTATTACTGACTAATCCCAAGACCTTGCTATATTACAAGCAAAATCTGAAGTTCAACAATAATATTTTTTATCTGTATTAAATAATATTGGCCTATAGCATGCTGTGATGTCATCTGAAACCCAGTAATATACCAATATACACGCCCATACAGACAGTACTGACCAGATGGCGTGTTGCTGAATGTGGAGTATGCCGATAAGCCTTGTCTCTCCAGAGTGTGGGAGACCAGCAGCTGACAGAAACATACTATCACTGGGTTGGTGTGGTAGTGATCAGCAGTGATCATTCCAACCCAAGTGCTGTAACCTGTTATTAGAAATCAATAGATTATTAGAAAGGACCCTATAAGCAAAAGGCTGCAGTTTTGGAACTGCCATAATGTCCTCTAGAAACAAAATATTCTGGTTATTATTAGGGATGTAATGATATCCAAATCTGTCAGTATGATATCATCACAATATATTAAAAAGATTAATACAGAATTGTATGTGCTACTTTTTGCTTTTAAAAATGCCTTGATGAGACTTTGTAAATCATTACAGTCATATTCCAAAGAAGTACAATATAAAAGTGCTTAATTGCTGTTGTTTCTTTGAGAAGTCTTTTTTAGCTGATGTTGCAACAAAACTATTCTTTTAAGCCAAAGAAGCTTGTAGTTTGCTGTATTGTGAAGGCCCACCTCATTATTGTGAGATTTTTGACTATACATTATCATGATATTTCAGTTTATAGTTACATCCCAATTTTTACTATATGCATAAAAACAACTAACTCTTTTGTTAGATACAACAAACATGTTCTTGAATGTGATTCTTGTATTAGTCTGTAAGTTCATATTTCATTTGGTAGGCTATTCAGATGAGTCATAACATTATACCATATTTTTTTCTAATAATGTGTAGCCCATCTCAACAATTTGTCATACTCCAAATGAACCAATATAAATTGCTATTCTGATTACTGTGCTTATGTACAAGTTTTCTACCTGGGTCCATATGTTCATATCCTCTCTGCATGATGGTGCGGTCAATACGAGACACTAGCCACGTCCCCACTATCACACTGGTCATGAGTCGGCTGATGCAGTTACCCACTCCCATAATCACGTTATAGAAGAAAAAAAAGTAGTTGAAGCAGTGGAATGCTTTCCTGGGAAAAAGAGAATCAGAAATAGTATTTGATTATTATTGTCCTTGGAGAAAGGCCTTATCAGCTTGAGAGGTATTTTATAGGTGTACTATGTAAGTTTTTGTTGAGAGTCTGTCCCCTGCTTTCTTCTATGGATATGTCATTGCCCTGGAATGTTCCACAGTAGACATTTAACATCTCTACCTTACATTTAGTTTATTACAGGTGGTTTAATAGCTCAAAAACAAACTTTGACTGACTGTGAACATGGTCACTGATCCACAGATCTGATTGATCTAGTGTGGTCTCCACAAAGATAGAAATGTTTAATACTATACTGTGAAACATTCCAGACAAAGCAAAAACATCTCCATGGAAAACCTCCACCACAAAAGTTACACAGAGCACCTTTAAATAAAAATGTTACCCACCTGTTATTTAGTGCAATGGGCTTCTGTTTATCAGTAGGAGACATCTTGTCTTGAAGAAAAAATATTTGAACTAACACCACTTGAATGATCACAAGGAATATAATGAGACCTAATGTCAGCCTAGATGACAGGAAAAAGACAAATTATAGATTTTCAATAATAATTATTATTTAGATCATTTCCAGTATAGATCATTTACAGTATGATTCCAATATTCTTCAGCAAATGCAGAATGTGTCCATGTTGAATGGGGAGAATGAAGATGTAAACAAACGCCAAGGCAAACAGGAAGTGGACAAAATGAACTATCAGGTAACCTGATAAGAAAATGTAGGTTAAAATGGCAAGGCTGGAACTACAAAAAAGATGTGAATGCGAAGATCGTACCCCAAAGTGTGAAAGCAATCTGCCACCCTGAGTATCTCGTAATTGAAGCCTGTACACACCCGAGGCATGTGTAAATAACTTGAATAAATCTTTAGAAAACATCACTTAATCCACAGGACCTGTGTATTCCTCAAACTAGAGTATATCTTACCATGCTTACAGCTGAACCAGGACTGTGGAATTTTTCAGGTAGAAAATTCTTCTGTCCTTTCCATAGTCTCTTCATTTGTTTCCTGTGAATATTCAAGCCAAGGCAAGGCAATTTTATTTGTATAGCACAATTCATACACAAAGTAATTCAAAGTGCTTTACAGAATAAGAAATACATTAAAATCATAATAAAAACAAATCAAAACATAAATAATCATGAAGATTAAAATGAAAAAAGAGAGACATAAATTGGAGAGAAGAGTGCGGAATGATAACCTTTCAGTTATATGCACAGTCACACAGAAATGTTTTGAGCCTGGATTTAAACAGCGTCACAGAAGAGGCCTGTCTCACATGTTCAGGAAGACTGTTCCAGATTTTAGCTGCATGAACCTGAAATGCTGACTCCCCTTGTTTAGTCCTGACTCTGGGCACCAGCAGGAGGCCGGTCCCTGAGCTCCTCAGAGTGTGAGATGGTTCATATGACACTAACATGTCACAGATGTACTTTGGTGCTTGGCCATGGAGAGACTTGTACACAAGCAGAGCTGCTTTAAAGTCTATTCTCTGAGCCACAGGAAGCCAGTGCAGAGACCTGAGCACAGGACTTATGTGCTCGTACTTCCTAGTTCGAGTAAGGACCCGAGCTGCAGCGTTCTGGATGTTCTGCAGCTGTCTCACAGCTCGTTTGGAGAGACCAGTGAGCAGACCATGTAGTCTAATCTACTGGAGACAAACGCATGGATAAGTTTCTCCAAGTCTGATTTAGACGGTAAACCTTTGATTTTTGCTATGTTTTTCAGATAGCAAAAGGCTGCAGATGTTATTGATTTGATGTGGCTGTTAAAGTTCAAGTCTGAGTCCATTATTACCCCTAGATTTCTTGCCTGATTTGAAGGTTTTAGAGACAGAGACTGGAGGTGACTGCTGACACTGTCCCTTTGTTTCTGTGGACCAAACACTATGACTTCAGTCTTGTCAGAGTTTAGCTGGAGAAAGTTGTTTTGCATCCACACACTGATCTGTTGGATGCAGTGACAAAGTGAGTCCACTGGTCCATAGTCTCCTGCTGTCAGAGAGACGTAGATCTGAGTGTCATCTGCATAATTGTGGTAGGACACATTATTGCTGCTTATTTACTGGCCTAATGGCAGCATGTAGAGATTGAACAACAGGGGGCCCAGGATTGACCCCTGAGGCACCCCACAGGTCAGGGCCATGTCATCTGAGACACAGTTTCCAATTTCAACAAAATACTTCCTGTCTTCTAGATAGGACTTGAACCAGTTCAGTACCAGAGATGCCCACCCAGTCCTCTAGTCTCTGTAAGAGGATCCCATGATCGACAGTGTCAAAAGCAGTACTAAGATCTAACAGGATCAAGACTTAGACTTTGCCTGCATCAGTGTTCAGGCGGATGTCATTTGTCACCTTGATAAGAGCAGTCTCGGGTGCTGTGATGGGCTCTAAAACCTGACTGGAAAACATCAAAGGAGTTGTTCATTTGGAGAAAGTTTGTAAGCACAGCTTTTTCAAGGACTTTGCCAAAAAACAGCAGATTTGAGATGGGTCGGAAATTGTTCAGTACTGTGGCATCAAGACTGCTCTTCTTTAGGAGAGGCTTAATGACCGCAGTTTTCAACGCGTTTGGGAATGTTCCAGATTTAAGTGAAATGTTAACTATGAGAGTGAGTGGTGAAAGTAAACTGTTGAGGACGGACTTTAGAAATCTAGTGGGTAACATGTCCAGGCAGCAAGTAGATGAACTCAGACTGGTAACGATCTCTAAAACAGTTTTGTCAGTTACAGGTGCAAAGTGACTCAGCTCTAAGTGTCTCTGTGGCTGCATGCTTGTTATTTGTGTTGTGGAATTGATGGCATTTTTGATGCCCTGAACTTTGTCATTAAAGAAAACTGCAAACTCATTACAATTAGATGTGGAAATTAGTTCTAGTGGCAGTTGAGCTGGAGGGTTTGTTAATCTGTTCACTGTTGCAAACAGGACATGAGAGTTGTTACTGCAATTACCAATAATGTCCGAAAAATACTTCTCTCTTGTTTTACTCAAAGTGTAGTTGTACATATGCATTGTTCCTCTGTAAATCTCATAATGAACCTGGAGGTTTGACTTGCGCCATTTCCGCTCAGCCTTCCGGCACTCCCTTTTCTGTGCTCTGACTGAGTCATCATTCCTCCACGGAGCTTTTTGCCTATCTTTAACCATTTTAACCTTTATCAGGGCGATGGCATCCAGAACATTCAAAACACTCAAAGTCACAGACTTCAACACATCATCAACATTAGAACATGAGGCAATTTCAAAATTGATCATTTCCATGAACAGTGCACCTGTGTTATCATTTAGGTGTCTTCTTCGAACAACTGTAGGAGCAGCCGGTGGTTTGGGAATAACAGAAGACACAGAAATGATCAGACAGAGCAACATCAACCACACTGACATTTGAAATATTTACACCCTTTGTAATGAGCAGGTCCAGAGTGTGCCCTCTGTTGTGAGTGGGCTCACTGACATGCTGAGTCAGACCAAAAGTTTCAAGGACAACACTAAGCTCTTTGGCATTTTTGTCACCCACATTATCCACATGTACATTAAAATCACCTGTAATGACTAAACCATCAAAGTCTGTGCATACAACTGAAAGCATCTCAGTAAAATCATCAATAAAACTTTGACAGTGCTGAGGAGGTTTGTATATGACTATGTAGAGTATGGACGGTGATTGTTTTAGCTCCATTTTGAAGGAAACATACTCAAATGATGAAAACACCCAAGGTCTCTTAAAATCTACCGGCATATATTAGTACATTGGAGAAAACATTAAAATAAAAGTTTACCCACCTGTAACATACAAGCACATGGCAGGTGTAGGCCACTGAGTTGAGACTTGCAAAAATAGTAGTTGCCAGCCAGCACTCTGCCCCAAACACAAAGTTCAATGCAAAAGTAATTTACTGCAGTCACACTTTGACACTCTATCTACTCACTTCTTGAAACATCAATAAGCTCCTCAAATTGTGGAATCAAAGCCCCAAACGAGTCAGTTTCATTGCATGAAATTGTCAAATGCTTCAGTGTTTCTTTCCATCTGTCAATTTGGTCAAAAGCTACATTACTGAGGCCGTAATCTGCTAGCGTCATCTGAAAAATTAATTAGCAAAAACAAAAAAAACAAAAAAAAAACAAAACAAAAAAACAACAACAACAAAAAAAAACAACTATTAATTAAAAAACTAAACAAATAATAAAAAAAACTAAAACAAATCTATAACTACTAACATCTCATATTACCGTGTATAGTCCAATAAGTGATATAATGGCAGTGCCGATAAGCCTGTTGGGAAACTTGAAATGTGGGTCCCACTCATAGACATTTCTCTGGAGCCAACTCAGTGGTTTACTGCAACAAAGTTCAGTAAATAAATGCAACATTTTATCAAGGTAATGTAATAAGCGTTTGTTTGTAATACAATAATGGATGAATACCAACATCTGCCCAGTTGTTTTTCTAAAAAGTCTTTTAACATGCTGCATTTGGTGAAGATGCATTAACTCCTCTGTCTCCTGCCAGAAAAAAAGATTAACAGTGAAAGTTACACATTAAAATCAATTTGACACATACAAATTCAGTGGGAGTAGATACCAGATACCAGAGCAAAAAAGTAAAAGTGTAAAAGTAAAAGTATCATATAAAAAAGTACTTAAGAAAAAGTATTACCTGTTTAGAAAATGTACTTAAAGAAAAAAGTAAAAGTATTTTGTGTAGATTTTCAGATTTAATAAAGTTTCAAATGTAATGATTTTGATAAAGATTTGTGCTGAAATTTGTTCAACAAAAACAATTAAATTTTTTTTTTTTTTTAGATTTTTTTTTTCTAGCTGTTTATTTTAATTTATATGTTTTTTTGTTTTGTTTTTGTTTGCTCACTTTTACTTCTTACTTCATACCTAAAACATGCTACATAGGTCTCCAGGAAGAACAGCTGATAGCTGATAGCTAAGGTTAGTTAAATACAATCAATTTAGCACGGGTGCTATAACCTGATATAATGGATCTGTCCTGTAAAGGTTAATGTATATTGTGTACTGTTCCTGTCTCATTAAATATAAATAAACTAATATTCCACCACTGTACAAATTACACTGAATGCAGGCCAAATGTGTGAAGTTACCTGTTCCATCTTAAGGTGTATCCGAAAAGCTTTTACCAGAATATACACAAATCGTCCCAACAGGAAGATGAGGGAAAGAATGCAAGGCCACTGGATTATAAGATTTTGGTATTTACCCAAAATCTAATGCAAAAACACATGCACAGTCAATAATGATATTTAAATAAATATTAGTTTGTTTTAGAGACCTACCTTGCCATCAGGACAAGTGTATGTGTCCCAAATTGTGACAATAACCCTAAAACATGAGAGTTCAATATTTCTTATCATCAAGTTTTAAACAAGAAATGACAAACATTGTATTAAAGGTGCAATATGTAACTTTCTGGTGGGTTGTCCGCTACTTTCTTGTCTCTGTCATTATTGTAACAAGAAGATATCTTTATTATAGGTGGTTGCTAAAAAAAAATACCTTGAAAAACATTTTTCACAGATCTGACCCGTCTGTGTTCAATGCCTGATGAGCCAGACCCTTCTACATTCTGTTAAAATCCACAAGTCTGGAATCAGACAACAGAGCACAAATAACCTCTGTCCAAACTGAAGACGATTCAAGTGTAAGTAACCATGTTTGTTTTTGATGCAAACAGAGCATGTATCTCTCTGATTGGTTAAACCGCCTGTCAATCGTGCCCTGTGAAATAAGGAGACAGATCCACTAATCTTTGTAAAGTTTTTTCAAAGCGTGTCGTTCTGACTGGTCAGGCAAGTTTAATGCCATACTGTGGAACTCCAATCCAATAACATCTAATGGAGACAAGAAGGTGATGGACCCTCTGCCAGGAAAGTTTCATAGAGTAGATTACTTTTAAATAAAATAGAATTTGTAAATTTTACCAGCTGAGTGAGTAGAGTATTCCAAGTGAAGCCCCCACCGCTCTAAAGTTTGTAGATAAACAGGCAAAGAAAGGAAAAAAGGCCAACCCCACTTCCATGGCCCCAATCAAGTACACTACAGCTGATAGCAAAGAAAAAAAAAAGTGAGAATTGTAAATACTACATTTCACAGCAATGTTAACCATGCTGCTGACTTACACCATCTAGTTATTGATTTTGTCTAATCCTTATGAAATGTTGAAATAAATAGGCCTAATTACCTATGATGGTATTTTGTTTTACATAATTTTGGTTATTAAAGTTATGTAAGAAGGTAGTTTATTGAATTTACAAAACCCTAATAATTAGACCTTTTCCTACCTCTGGCCCAGGTCGGGACAGTAAACGGGATGTAGTTCTCAGAGAAGAGAAGAAGGACACTTGAGGACACAGCACCAAACGCAAAACCATAAGACCAACGATTACTGAAGCTGCCAATGGTGTCCAAAGGCCTGTCACAAAACCCAGAATAATTAACAAGAAAGCAAAATAAATAAATTACAAATATTTTATACTAAACTTACACCACAATCCCAAATCGTCCATCTAAAAAAGGGAGTTTGTGGTCAATGGACAGTTTTTGGGCTCGCTTCTGAAGAAAAGACAGTGCTCCTAAAATTATCACCTATAAAATAAATAATCTTTTAAGCAATCAGATTATCACAGTTCAAAAGATCATCTTAACACAGATGCGTGTCTCTTGACATTTGACTCACTGCTGGTAAAAGAGAAATATGAAGGAAAAGCTGCATCGAGATCATTTTCTGACAATCCTCCATTATAAGTCTGTGAAAAAGCAAAGATTAATTCATTTAAAAAAAACATCTACAGGTATATGTTTGCATGGACTGAAAATGAAAAAAAATAAAATAAAAAATAGAAATGTTGAAAGTGAAAATTACATACAACATACAGAACTATTTAATTACAACCAAGTCTTGACCAGTGTTAGGAAGTAACTAAATAAATGTACCGAAAAAACATATTCTGAATACTAATTTTTAATAACCGCATTCCAGTACAGACTTTGTGTCTCAGTGCAGTTTAACAGGAGGACTGGTCAGGTGTCCCTTCTCTGTGTCCTCTGTTATATACGTTTAGATTAAGATTTATACATTTGTGCATCTCCTAAAAAGCAGATCCTTCTTATTTCTTGTATCAAAATTGGGAGTGTTACGTAACATTACAAATAACAAGCACACTCTAAACTGAGACAAGATAACATAACAAAATGTACTTACACAAGCTCCTCTTTGTTCTTCATTGTGATGGATTGGTAAGTGCATAGGACTTCAGTGTTGTGCGAGTCTACTCTAGAGCTAGAGTAGTAGATGTAGAGGCTCATTTCCTGGTTTTGAAGTGAACTTTGATCCTTGAATCATTGTTTTCCTTCTGTGCGCGGTCTAACTGAACTTCTGCTTTTTGCACTTCCCCTTTGAGTGCACTGTTTGTCTGGATTACATAGTGATACAGGCATGTTCCATTGACCACAGTTAGTGCAAATGTGAGATAACCTACAGTACATTCACCTCAATGGATCTTTTGTCACATGATTGTATTATTATCAATATTTAAACCACACTAATGATGTGGTTGTAGTGAAATACAAGCTTACTTAGAAATACATTTGATTTTGTGGAATAAGAGTGGTTCTAATGGTACCAAAACAGATCATTCTTTTGAAGTAAATAGGGATGTAATAATAACCAGAATATCGAGATATTGTATTGTCCAAAATGTCACAATAATATTGTGGGCCATCACAACATCTTGAATTATAAATCTCTGCTTAAATTCATTATTTTGGTGCAACAATAGCTTACAAACAGATGGAACAACATACAACATGCAGACTACATGAAGAGATAACTTTTACTAACTACCAACTTTTAGACCTCAATTCTTTGGATTATGATAGTAATACAGTACCAAAGGCTTGTTAAGGTATGTTAAAAGGAAAAAGAAGTAGCATATTTAAATCTTTTTTGTCAGCCTCTACAAAATATCTCAATAAATATCATACAGTGAGATGCATACTGTGAAAGTATCATATTTATCAAGATGTGAAATAATCACATTTGTTCCAAAAATTTAGCAATTTCAAACAATCACAAATGCTTTTTAATTCTCTTTATTTTGGCTCATTGTCAGTCATCTTCTGTTGGGAAAAAACTGCCCATCTCTTCTCAGATCAATTGCAATGTAAGTGACCTCAGCAGCTCTCCTCCTTGACAACCAATATCTCCTGCTTTGTCATTCTGTAAAAGTGATGTTATAGTCTCAGACTAATGACATTTATAAGAAATATCAAACATGTTATTTCAAATGTGACTAGAGTTTGCCTAGAAAATACCATCTGCATTTTAACTATGTATAACCTATTTTAAATGCCCCTAATATGTATTATATATCATTGGCCAAATAGATAATGTAAAATGAAAACCAGCAATATCTATTTGTCATTCAATTTAAAATGATAAAGAAAAAACAGTATTGAGACCATGAGGCTAAGGAAGCTTCTCCAACAATTTTTTGAAATAGAACTGTCTGTACAATATTAGTATTTTTAAAGTACACATTGTCCCCTAGAGGGTGCCATTTATCATTCTCACATGCTAAATATAATCAGTATACTCCTCTTGATGATGTTTTTTTGGCAGATTAATGACAACTGCTTTACTCACTGTTTCTCCACACAGAGGGCACACTCATTGGCATAAGTGTTTCCATCGCTGCCACAAACAGGAGCAAGGTTCATGGGACATGCCATGATCTCCTCCATCTCAGGGCACGAGGCCTAAATAACAAAAAACAACATAAACACAGACAGTGGACTACTTTGCAATAATAGTGTCCTACATGATTTGGGTTTCATACTGCAAAACATATTACAACAGTCACCTTTCTCAGACCAGATTTCTTGGCATCATCATCTGGTGGAAACAAGTGAAGTGAAATCTTAGTTAATTAAGGTTTTACATAAAGAACTTTTCAGTCGATATTAAACGACAGGGAAAATATAGAATCGTATAATCTCATACCTGCCGTTGTCACACAGACAAGCAGGAGCCCGAGAAAAACAACCTTCCAAGTCATGGTGGTGAAAGAATAACCCAGAGACTGAAACAGTGCAGCTCTGTTATCAGCAATAAAACTGCTGTGGGAAAAAGGGCAGGTGAAGTGAACACACCCCTATTTAAAGCCTCAATCAGCTGTGCACAAATATAGAGTTATTAGATGGCAAGAGCATATAGGCATACCACTATTTGAAATTATAATGGATTTCTTAATATCTAGTAATTTGTCCACTGTCCACAACAGCTTTTAATGATATTTATGGACTGGTTAAAGTTGGAAAACACAGAAGACAACTCCCTTTTTTGTGTTGTCAGAAATTATGACATAGCTTACTTGAATCAGAAAGAACACAGTATCACTAACCTGGTATTGAAGGCCTATATTTCCTGTGAAATAAAATATACACTTTAATAACAATTAATAACTGTTTATTTGCTCTTTGTACAAAAAGAAATGACAAACCTCGCTTGTAAACAAAACAAAAACAAAATCCCATTCAATATTGCAGGTCAAATTATAAAAAATAAAAAAAATAACTCTGAAAAAATAGTTGTTTCAAAGATTACAACATTGGTATAGCACCATTTACAGCCTTCTGTGCAGTAGAATATTTGGTCTTTCCCCAAAAAAGAAAAGAAAATTATCTTGATAATAAGATATGACGATAATATACTAAAAGTACGAGTTAAGATTCATAAGATCCAAATCTCTAACAGGCAAACAAAGCGTGAGAATGTGTGAACAGAACTATTATACAACAAACATTCAAGTGCAAGTGTAATAGTGCATTTAGGTATGTAATAGTGACTCGATATGCTCCTATCATTTTTTACAGTAGGTTTTCTTGTAAAGCAGGTTTTGGGGCTGGTCAAAATTTCAGCATTTGTCTGAGATCATCTCTGTGGCTGCCTCCGAGCGCATGAGCCAAGCCCGCACCACAAGGTCGGCCTGAGGAGAGGAGGATACCTTCAGAGGAACATTAGCATGGAGGTGCTGCTTCCGGAGTGGGATGAGATGAGGGTTCTTCAGTAAAGTGTAAAACAGTCTCCAGCGCTTCTTAACCCGGCTCTGTGCTGAATCTGAGAGGAAGGCAAAGAAGAAGAGTTGGAGATTGAATATGAGCCACAGGGGAAATGGTAATAGGCATTGTTGTAAATGCAATAATATAATATAGTAATATACAGTATCTATCTTAATACAAAAAACAAAAAAAAAGTGCATACAGATTTGTTTTCCTCATGTTAAACTGAATCTTTTTCAGAGCACTTTGGAGCACAAACAGATGGCTGGACTCTGTGAAGATGAGGCTCTGTAGTTTTGGCCTCTGCTGTCTGATCTACTCTAATTTTAAATGAGCTCTACACAGAGGAAAGTCAGATTTCAAATTGCATGTGAATTATTAAATATATTGAATATAAGAATAGGTATATTATTAAATATAAGAATAGGTATAGTTGATGTCCCTGGGGATGATGTGGTAGACAGCGAATTGAGCATTTGTTGGATCTTGACAATTCCCATGTCAAAACTGATTTAGGGACTTATAATTAGCCAAGGAAAGTCCAGGTGGAATAAATATATGAGCCCCATAAATTTTTAGGCAGAATTAAAATACAAGTCCTATTACATTTTTGTGAATTTGTCAGTTATTTTTTTTATTTGCACAGTTTAGAGTACAAACTGGTCCAGACTGAAAATAAGTGGGTTACAGATTTCCCTTAATGTTTTACATGTCCATGAGATTGAAGGTGGACAAACAGAAGTTCTCTCAGAATGGTAAGGGGTGTGAAATAAAAGCACCAAAAATGTAATCAAAACTTGTCTCTGTTGCGTCATTGGTAGCACTTACCACAGGGGGCGTTGTTGAGTATGGAGTAGCTGGACTCATGTTGCATATACTGAATGTGAGAAAGCAGCATCTGACAGAAGCACACCATCACTGGGTTGCTGTGGTGGTGGTCAGCAAAAATCATCCCAATCCATGTACAATAACCTATGAAAAAAAAAAAACAGGGAAGAGCAACACAGAAAAGGCACATACATTTAAAAAATTTTTATTATTATTTTTGTAATTATTTAAGGTGTACTTTTTAAAATAAAGTTAGTATTGGCAAGTGGGCAGGTATAGGGGTAGACATTTTTTTTAATCACTCAAGCCTTCAAGCTGTATTGCAGGACAACACAGGATTACTCACACATGCATAAATCATTCAAAATAATTGTGAGTAAGCTAATAATGAAGAAATACAGTATCTTTATTTCCAGCCTAAAAGCTCTTAAATATTGATTCTGCATGATGCATCCTTTAAGCAAATTCATTGACACTAAGTATTGGATAAAACTTCTGCCTCTCATTTGAAGCCATACCTATAGTTGTGACATTATAATGATTTTAATTGTACTGCATTTCCAAGTTAAAAGAGTTTTGCATCCTAGCATTATCAATGCACTAACCTCTGTCTAGAGCTGTAACGATATGTAAATCACATGGTATAATACAATTACAATATTCATTTAATGATATGATATTAGATATTAGATAGAGATACTAATAGAAATGAAGAAATGCTACTTTTTACTTTTAAAAAGCTGTGACTTGGGGCTATATTAATATAATAGTCCAAAAAATTGGGATTAAAAAGTTCTTTATAACAGTTATTATCTTGTTTTCTTCATTGAAGTGGAACAAAAGATTGTGGTCTGTGTAGTTTCCTCCATTTTTCTAGCTGTTGCTGCTCTAAAACAATGCATTTAAGCAAAGAAGTATATAATTCAATAAATTGTGACAGCCCAGAATAATATTGTGTGAACTCTGAAGGTACGATATCACGAAATTTTGATTACTGTAACATCCCTACCCCTGTCAAGCGTCTCATATCCTTTCTGCATGATGGTGCGGTCAATGCGAGACACCAGCCACGTCCCCAACACGAAGCTTATCATCATCCGGAGGAAACAGCTCGTTATTCCCATCACCACATTGTAGAAGAAGAAGAAGTAATTGAAGCAGTTAAAGGCATTCCTGTAACAATGACATAGTGTGGATCAAATAATTAAGGACAAATATTTAATATATACATTTCTCTGGTAAATTAACCAAGTTAGTAGTGAGACATTATCTGCATTTATAGATTTTTTTCATGAACAACTTCACCACTATTCATTTATTTCAGAGTTTCTATTGGCCCATGGCTTTCCTCAGGGGACAAACAGATTTGTCACAAACACTGTTTGTCCCCTGAAGAAAAGCCATGGGCTGAAACGCGTTGGGACTTTTTAAGTTGTCCATTAAGACATGCCGTAAACTAATAAAGGCATTTTATTTTGAACCAGTGAGTGCCTTGGGTTTTTTTGCGTTTTTTTAGAGCATTTTGAGTTTTGGAGATATAGACAGACTGATAATACAGGATTACTCAAATGTGAATGAACCAAAACTACTTCAGCTTTTTACTAGGTAACAACATTCCACATGACTAAAAGCTAACTACAATCAACTGGGGATAATACGTGACCTTTAACTGAAACTGGACTTTACTCTAAGTCCACCTGGTAATACCTCAAGACACACTAGTGTCCCCTAGTACACTCATTGAAAATCAATGGATTAGACCAATTTATTTTTATCAGTGGATTGATGTCAAAGTCAAAAACGTTTAAATGTGATAACTCCAATCATTTTAACTGTCATTTTTTTAACCATTTAAACCTATCCAGACTAACAGGTCTTATTTATTTTTATGTAAGTCAAATCACCAACCTGTTATTGAGGGCAAGAGGCTTTTGGTCATCAGTTGGAGATATTTTGTCTTGAAGGAAAAACCACTGAACCAGAAAAACTTGAAGCTTGAGGAGGCCCAGCAGTAAGCCAAACGATATACTGCAGAGTATAAAAAAAAAATCAATATATCAGTATCAATTAGTGTATCAAAACATAGACAAGTAGGAATAACAGTCTTACAGAAGGGTTCCCAATGTTGTGAAAAGCATCCACCCTTTACCATCTATTATTGGTATGACAATTGCATAAGCAATTACAAAGGCAACCAAAAACTGAACAATCCGGATAATCACATAACCTAAAAAAAAAACAACCAAAGGAAAAAAAACAAAAACAGATGGAAATAAAGAATGCACAAATAAATAGTGTACACAGTCTAAACCAGACAGGCTTACCCCAAAGAGTGAATGCTATTTGCCAACCAGAATATTTTGCAATAGAAGCCTGCAAATAAAAAAACAAAAAACATTCTAAACATTGCAATCTAATATCAAATACAGAAAGGTATATTTTATTCATCCCTTGTGAAATTAATTCTGCATTTGACCCATCCTTCAGTCAATACGGCATGGGCATCCTGTCAAGAGCAGTGAGATGCTGTCATACATCTCCATGATCCTGACTAGGCTTGTTCAGAGTTAACTACACTGGAGAATTTGACCTGTGAGGTATATTTTGGCTATTGATCTCTATAACAAATACAGAGAGATATCCTTTTGGATTTCCAAGCAATATTTTGGGTTGTCTGGAGGAAAACCCTGAATGGAAACCAGAACGTTTCTGCTGTACAAAGTGCGAGTGCCTATGGAAATACGCCATTGTGGCCATTGCAATACTAAAATATAAAAAGTTAAGATTTGAGTTAATTTGCCTTATCTCATATATGACATATCATATTCACAGTAACATCTGACTAACAAACAATAGAACCTTTAAGAACTTTTTAAGTGAATCACAAAATAAAATGAAATAAAATTAACTCTAAAACATACCACACTGACAGCAGAACTTGGGTTTTGTAATTTCTTTGGCAGAAAATCCTTGTGCCCTTTCCAGAGTCTTTTCATTTGTTTTCTGCAGAGAAATAAGAAAATAAGACATTTTCAAAAAAATAAAATAAAATCACTCATGCCAATGACCTCTATATTAAAGGTTGTATAGAGGATTTTCCAAGGAACGAGAAATCCAGCGACTGTTTGTCCTTTTTCAAATGTTGCGCATGCGTGAAACCACCCCCCCCTCCCCTACAGCTCCCTACGTAGAAACGCCTTCTCCCGCCTCCTCATACGCCAGAAACAGGTTTGTTTACAGCCGGTGAGCTGCACATGACTTGTAAACAACTAACTACAGTGTTGGTTAGGCACGGAGAAGTGAGGAGCGGGGGAGCGGGTGTGCGACATTTCGTTCGCGGACGAGAAGTGAGGAGCAGGGAGAAGAGCGGAGCAGGGAGAGAGGAGAGAGAGAGAGAGAGGGGAGCGGTGCGCGGAGATTCCGTGCCCGTAGAAGTGAGGAGAAGGGGAAGAGCGGAACGGGCAGCGGGACAGGAGTAGGAAAGGGGAGCAGAGAAGGTTGCGCGGAGATTCAGTGCGAATGAACTAGCTACAACACGCAGCAGCAAGCGGACTCTTTCTTTGCCTTGAAAATTACGTTTTCAGACATAGGATATCGCTTTCGTGTCCTGAAAAACGTTTGACTAGCTCTTGGAAATAAAGTACGTTTTCATAATAAGCAGAAGTTACCTGTCCAGGAGTAATTTGGCGACCAATGCGTCAGTCTTTAGACCCTGCGTCTGCTTCAGTCGCGCCATCGCTGGAATGAATCTACAAGAATCACCTTAGTTTGGCTTCGCTGCTTTTCCCCTTGTCTTCTTCTTTCAGACCTCTCAAAAACGGACTTTCTTTTGCGGCTAACTGCTCCTGGATTCTTGTCTGCCATTGCAACAAAACTTTGTGCTAACTGCGAGGAAGATATAGGTCAAAAAAAGCCGCTAAGAACTGTTGCATTGGTGGAGTAAACAGCGTCTGTGCGTCTTGCGTCTGTGGACTGCGTGACAGGCGTACGTAAACCACGTACCGGCGGCGCGCAGGCAGGTCAGTTACGCTAGAAACGTAGGGAGTTTGATTGATAGCCTGTCAGCTAACAGATAACGAGGCCGTGTCGTTATCTATTGGCAAATGTTTAGCTGGCCCCACCACGTCCAGAGTTGATGAATTTTTATTCTCTTTTTTTGGTCATCATAATTACAAGGCTACTGCACCTCTATAATGCTATCATTGACAACTTGAAACAAAAAAAAAAAAAAATCCTCCATACAACCTTTAACTCGTACCTGTAACAGACTAAAACATGGCAAATGTAGATCACCATGTTGAGACTTGCTGATATAAGAGTAACATGGTGACACTCTATGAAGACAACACAAATTAAGATTTCTAAATTATAGCAATCACTTATAACAAAACCAATGTCTTACTCCAGAGGACATCCAGCCACTGTGGTATTTGAGTAGAGTACATTCCGCTGTTCGTAAGTTTCTCAAACCATTTAAATAGAGCAGAAAACAATCCAAAGTCTATTAGCACCATCTGTGTAAACATAATGACATAATTATAGTTATACACACAGACTGTATATGGAGTGCTGAAACAGATAGCATACTAAAACTATTCAGAAAAGGCTAGATTTTGCCCTTTGTGTTAAAAAATTGTCCAACTTTAAGCTATTTTATTTACAACTATTTTATTTATCATTATGTTAATTTGGAAAATGCTAAAAAACTCTGGGAGGGGCAGGATACGGATCTGGTTTAGTTTAGTTTCCCGAGGTATGGTGACTACTCCCAGTCTGTTTATCAGTCTTCAAGCTTATCAATCACTTTGCACAGCATGCAATATTGAAATGTAAGATATGCGAATCTAAATTTGGTGCATTTTGTTTTGCAGGAAATAGTCCACCTGATGTTTTTGCATTTTAGATTGTTTTCCAAAAAACGCCCCACCACAAGCATAAACTTGAACAGTGCTTGTGCCTAAACATGTCTAATAATTCTTATGTAAACCCTGATGATCTTTCAGTTCAATGTTTTACAGTTTACGGTGCTGCGTTTTAATACAGGAGCAGTGTTGCCAAGTTAAAGTAAAAAGTAAATATCCAAGCACAAGCATTCTAATAGGAGACATTTTAATCATTTTTACTATAACTAATAACCTAATTACAATTACCGTATAAAGGGTTAGGAGAGATACAATGGCAGTCCCAATGAGCCGGTTGGGAAACTTGAAGTGAGGGTCCCACTCATAGACATGTCGCTGGAACCAGTTCAGTGGGTTACTGCAGAAAAAAGTCCCAAATACCAGAATTACAGTAAATGTAAGTTCAACATATTGCAGTGAAAATGTCTTCTACCTGTACACAGCTGGCTTCCTCAGTAGTCTCCTCACATGTTCAATCTGATGAGTGTGCATGAGATTCTCACAGTCCTAGCACAGAATTACACAGAGTTACACAGTTAGAATACAACTGAAGGGCATTATCATAAGACGGAAAAGTGGTTCACCTCCTGCTCATCTTTACACTGTCTGCGCACAGCTTTTACCAGCAAGGAAAAAAAACGTCCCAAGAGGAAGATAAGAGAGAGAACCCGGGGCCACTCGTAAACTGGCTTCTTGTAGTTCCCCCATTTCTGCCAAGCCAATAATAATAATAATAATTACAATAAATCACGTGTTACAAACACACATTTAATCAAATTAAATTCCATAACACTTAAAAGAGAAATGTATCCCACCCAAACATAGAGGCAAGTGAACCAGTCCCAGCCAACAACAGTAATCCTGTAATAAACACACACAATTTCCATAGAAAAGGAAACCAAAAGAGGACAAAGGTCAGGACAAAATCTGTATGCTATAATTTGTGATTCTACACTACAAACATATGCATTTACCAGAATAAGGAATAGCATATTCCCATCACAGCCCCAGTTGCTTTGTTTGGCGTTGACAGACAGGCAAAAAAAGGGAAATATGCCAGACCCACCTCAAAGGCGCCAATCAAATAAGCTATAGCTGAGAAGAAAACAGAAAAAAAAACATGATAAAAGAACTAAAACTGATCTCAAAAATAAAAATAAAGGTTACAATTGGCCTTGAAAAGCAGAATGATATCTCTCTGTATGTTTTAGTCTGGTAACCACTCCCTCGTTAGCGCCTTGAGCCAGACTCAAACATGGCCATGCAATCATATTTGTTCATTTCAGTGACACCTATGAAAAGAAGAAGCTCATTGGTCACCACCTAGTAGAGCAAAATCAAATTCCTCTCACCTCAAATTAATAGAGTTCACTCAGTGATTCAGCAGAAATATTTCTTTTGATAAGGACAAACCATGTGTGTCCCTGGCTAATCTACCTGCCAATCACACCCATCTGAACTCTGGGAGATTCAATGGTGACCAGACTCACATCTTCGTGAAATATTGGAAAAAGTGTGCATTCTGGATCCCTGTCAGTGTTACAATACCTTTGGCCCAATTTGGAAAAAAATTTGGAATATGCTGTTCATAGAAGAGCTCCAGTACACTATAGGAAATGGCCCCAAAAGCAAATCCATATGACCAGCGATTACTGAAGCCCATAGCGTCCATGGGTCTGTTAACAAAGACAATCACAATATATATGTTTTGTATTAAAACTGAAGGAACAAAAGCAATTACTATGAAAATAAATGCATGTTTTTTTTTTTGTTTTTTTTTAATATAAGCTCTTACATGACAATGCCAAAACGTCCTTGTAGTAACGGAAGTCTCTGGTCAATGACATGTTTCTTGGTTCTTCTTTTGAGGAATGAAAGCACTCCCACAATGAACACCTGGAACCAACCATTCAGATCAATGTAGTGGGAAAGTGGTATGTCAGATATTGTTTAATGCTTTGTTGAGTTAAGGAGAGCCTCATAGTCCATCACTTACAGCTGGTATGAGGGAAAAGTGCAAGAAATATTCAGTTGAGAATGAATCGTCACACCCTGACCTGGTTGAGTTCCTGGAAAATAAAACAATTAGAAAAGCATTGTATTTTTATGTCTTAGTTAGCATAAAACATAAATTTGAGAATGAAATTTTGTTGTATGTAATCTTCTGTTTTTACACTTTGGTGAAATTTTCTCTCACTATGTTCATTTGGAAAATGCTAAAAACTCTGGGAGGGGCAGGATACGGATCTGGTTTAGTTTCATTTCCCGAGGTATGGTGACTACCCCCAGTCTGTTTATCAGTCTTCAAGCTTATCAATCACTTCGCACAACATGCAATATCGAAGTAAGATGTGTGAATCTAAATTTTGTGCATTTTGTTTTGCAGAAAATACTCTAATACTCTGTTTTTGCATTTTAGATTGTTTTCTAAAAAAATGCCCCACCACGAGCATAAACTTGAACAGTGCTTGTGCCTAAACATGTCTAATAATTCTTACGTAATACCTGATAATCTTTCAGTTCAATGTTTTACAGTTTACACGTGGTGCTGTGTTTTAATAAAGGAATAGTGTTACCAAGTTAAAGTAAAAAGTAAATATCCAAGCACAAGCATTCTAATCCTTTTTACTATAACTAACTGTTTTCAGCAGGAGACACACATGATATATACAGTATTTTATTTATTATTTACTAATGCAACCCTTTGGAAGTATTTGATATTCAGTTAAAGTTAAAACTCTCGATACAAAGACTTGCCTTTGCTACACTAAATTTGTTCCAGTATCTAAGCACGCCGTTTACAGTCAGTACTTACTGATACACATATTCTTGCATCCAGCCCATTGTAGAAGTTAATCAGGTTACGTTTAATCCTTGAATAGTTCTGTTTTAAACAAAATAACAAAGGCAAATGCATTATACCAGCAACGACACTGATAGTGTAAACGCAGTCTCGTTTTACCCCAGGAAACAACTGTTCTGATGTTTTTAAATTATTTTTGCATGTTGGTACCTCCCCCTCCCTTTCTGCAAAAAACTATTTCCTGTTACCTGATTTAACCCTCATTTAACCCTTTTATTCCCACTTTATTAATGACATTATACGTTCCATTTTGTTAACTACATGGTTTTAAGCAAATTTCAAGAAATAAACTAAACAAAAAGTGCGAATATTTGCACGCGAACTGTTGTTTGATTGACATCGCGTGTCTTGGTCTGACAGCGTGCTTCAAGGAAGAGTACTTCACGTCAAACTTCCGCAGAAATGAACAAAGATTTCACTCGCTATTTTTCACAAATCACTGCTCGTGTTGACATTACGCACCACTAGAGGGCGCACTTTGCTTAACTCAAGGTTATTATGGGTCGTCGTCATTGTTTGCTAGTCAATTTCAAGACATAACTTTGCTCAACTTAAACAGGTTTTAGATTACATGATTTTGCATATTTAGCCGTACTACAGACACTCTCCCAGAGCATCACCCAAATGACACATCTTTTTCAGCGAGGCAGTCAGTAGGCCGTTAGTGCAGGAGGCCCTGGAGCATGTGGAGTATGTGTATTACAGCCTTTGGCCAGCAGAGGGTAATGTTTGGCCCACAATGACCCAAAGTGTTGTATAAAGTAAGATAAACCTTGCCTTAAACTTGTACAGGTTTGCAATTCAAAATGTAAGAACAGTAGGAGAGTAAGAACATGCAATCGAAATCAAGATCAAAATAAAGAAGTAGAAGCCTCTAAGTATAGTTGACAACAATAAATATGGGCTAAGGCCTGCCTCTGTAATGGTGGTGAACTATACATGGCTTTTACCTGCAACAATATTTCATTTTCTGGTCATGTCTGTTCATGGGAGAAAGCTCTACCTATAACAACATTTTAAAAACAAAAAAGACAGAAAGTATGCTATTTCCATAACATATTCTGATGACCAAATATTGATAGAAGCTGGTAACAAGTATCAGTCCTTTCTCATCCTCTTTCACATTCTTTTTCTTTTTTTGTTGTCTTCCTTCCTGGCTAGTTGGCTGTTGCCACACACGCAGATCACCTCCCATTTCTTCAAATGCTACAAAGGTAAAATGAGGAATCTGGGCATCAGACTACAAACATTTACCAAAAGGTTTAGTAGGACACAGCTTTCTCAAAGACTAGTTCTAACTACCAATTCTTTTTCGTAGATGGTACATTGGACATCAGATAAGTATTGTAATTTAAATGTATTTAGTAGTGCTGTCATGTGATTAAAAAAATTGAGAGATTAATTAATTATGATCTGTAATTAATTAATCTAATTAATCTCATTTTAATCTCACCTAAAAATTGCTGAGAAAAGCCTTCAATTTGAGGTATTTTCATTTAAATTCATTATTACATTATTGTGGCAGATCAAAAGACTGATATAGATTAAAAAAAGTGACTTTATAAAGTCATTTATTGTTTAACAAATCTCTTCAATTTGGCTGTTGAGCCCAAGTCTCCATGAATAAGAAACTGTTTGCTGTAAAGTAGCAAAGACAAGGAAATCTGAACATAATAACTTTTGTCTACTTAAAGACAATAAAAAGTCCAGTCTTTCCTTAACCATATTAAAAATATTATTGATAGAGAAATGCTTTATATATGAGATCACTGGTTTTAGTCCTGGTTTAGACCTGCTTTAGTCCTACTTTAGTCCTAGTTTAGTCCTGGAATGGATTAATCCTGGTTTTAGTCCTGGTGTTAGTTCTGGTTTAGTCCTGGTTTTAGTCCTGGTTTAGTCCTGGTTTAGACCTGGTTTAGTCCTGGTTTAGTCCTGGACTGAATTAGTCCTGGTTTTAGTCTTGGTGTTAGTTCTGGTTTAGAGGCTCACAGGAGGAAGCGCGGTTTACGCAGCGTACGCGAGAAAACACGATCCACACGCGGCTCACGGGAGCACGTCGGTGTCCGCGCAGTAACTACGGAAGGAAACGTGGTCCGCGCGTTCTCAGGTTAATGACGATGATGAAGGTGTGTGTTTGTGTTTGTGTGTGTTTGTGTTTGTGTGTGTTTGTGTGCGTTTGTGTGCGTTTGTGTTTGTGTGTGTGTGTTTGTGTGCGTTTGTGTTTGTGTGCGTTTGTGTGTTTTTTGTGTGTGTGTTTGTGTGTGTTTGTGTGTTTGTGTGTGTGTGTTTGTGTTGTGTGTGTGTTTGTGTTTGTGTGTTGCGTTTGTGTTTGTTTGTGTGTGTTTGTGTGCGTTTGTGTTTGTTGTGTGTGTTTGTGTTGTGTTTGTGTGTGTTTGTGTTGTGTTTGTGTGTGTTTGTGTTTGTTTGTGTGCGTTTGTGTTTGTTTGTGTGTTTGTGTGTGTTTGTGTGCGTTTGTGTTTGTTTGTGTGTGTTTGTGTGTGTTTGTGTGTGTGTTTGTGTTTGTGTGTGTTTGTGTGTGTGTCCCCTCATGTGGCAGGTCACTATAGGACAGTAGTGCAGACATCATGAGTCTATGCAGGTTGTTTTCACCAGTGACATTTAAGTTGTAGGCGATTTTATATTTGTTATTTTCTTTTATATTTCACGTCGGGAGAATAATTTCCAAGACACGAATGCGTTTTTACCTGTGCACTGCTGCCTCTGTTCTACTGGCTCTACGACCTCGTCCATTGTGCGACTGACGCCGTAAACGTCGCTCTTACTGCGCGTGTTTTGTGCGGGTTTCCGACAATGAGTGGAATTGCCGAAATTAAAAAATTTATAAATGTGTTTTGTGTGTGTGTGTGTGTGTGTGTGTTGTTGTCCCAACAACACATAAAAACAGGTTTTATAATAAAGCAACTCACATACAGAAACACTAAAGTTAGAGATTAAAAATGAGATTAACGCGATTAAAAAACATAACGCGCTAAATATGACTGTAATTAATTAATCGCAATTAACGCGATAATTTGACACCCCTAGTATTTAGCTGATTTTATTCTGTAATTTTCATTCAGATAATTGGTCATTGTACTGAAGTATCCAACTTTGCAAGACTGAAAAGTCTGAAGAGATCATTGTCACAAAATGTTTGAACTTTATTAAAAGAGTAGCTGTACATAATCAGTAACAGACTTAAACAGCTGTTTAATACTTATAAATGTAAACAAACAATAACAATGACACAATAATGAGCATGAGGAGAAAGAACACCATGTCTGTCCCATATTTTTCTCACAGTTTCTCTGCATTTCAGATTTTAATGTTGTTTCACTTTCAAGTGACATCTGATTATCTGAGTTCCAGTGCAGAGTATTGTACTTAAATATTATTTACTATAACTTATTTGAAATAATAGGCAACTAGGCCTTTAAAGTGCTCAGTACACAATTGAGAGACTGTGACTATGGCCCTAAATTGATGCTAAGCTGAGCCAAATAAAACCCCACAATCTTCAGAACAGAAATGCCTCACTGATATTCCAAGATACGAGCACCTGAAGTGACATGACTATGCCATTCATATACACCCTGAAAGGATTTTTTAAAAACATACTCTAGAGTGCTAAAAGCTATTTTAAGTCTGTGGTCCCTGTGGAGGTTAGCCTGGGTTATCCCTGGAAATGTTCATCTTTTAAATTTGATAGCTGGTTGTGTGTGGTCAATAAACTGAAATATCTGAATTTGGGAACTCACTAAATAACAAAAGTTTCATTTAGAAGAATAAATACAAATGTACAATGTTGTGCTTTTTCAAAAATTCAAAAATGAGTAGGAGGCTAAAATAATGTGTGAGTTAAAAGAAAGTAAAGCACAAATTATAACAGTTATAAGAATGCTCGTTGATACATAGTGAGCTCCATTTGGCACATGTACTAGTTTTTTACTCCACTGTTTTTTATATAGTTGACAACACAAATTTGCTACAATAACTAGAACATCCAAACATCTGAACTGGCTCAGGTCTGCCCCTGCAATGATGGTGAACTGTACAGAGCATTTACCTGCACAACAATATCCCATTTTCTGTTCATGGGAGAAAGCTTTACCTACAGCAACATTTTAAGAAAGAAATAAAGTACGCTCTTTCCACAACATGACCAAATATTGATACAAGCTGGTAACAAGTATCAGTCCGTTCTAGTCCTCTTTCACTTAAACACACACTGACTGTCGTGTGTGTGGCCCATTGCATGCAATATACTCCCAAGATGCATCCAAAATCTCGTTTGAGTCTTTCATCCTGTCCAAGCGGCTGTGGCCGCCGGAGCAGATCACCTCCCATTTGTTCAAATGCAACAAAAGTAAAATGGGATCTGGACATCAGAGTACAATTATTTACCAAAAGCCTGTTTTGTAGTAGGACACAGGTTGGTGTTAATACATTCCTTGGCAGCATACATACATTGTTGTTTAATGGAGTGCTGGATATATGTCTCTCCATGACAGTATAGGCACTGTGCTGAAAATGGGCAGGAGAAAGATTAAGAACAAATAAAAAAGACTGAAAATCTTAGAATAAACAGAAGCCAGTGGCCCATAGGAGCCTGTACAGTAAATAAGAATTGAATATACTAAAAAAAGAAAACTATAAACAAAAAATGTTGCCACAATTGAGAATTCTAACAGAAATCAAACAGATTTTAAAGTAATCCGTGAATACTTAATATAAAATAAGAAAACTTCTTAGTAACAAAAAATTTGAAGTTTGATCCTGAACTGTCTGTTATGTGTAATTGGCAGTGAAACATCACCTAAATTTGCACTAACAAAGTCCCACAGACAAATAGCTACTAAAAAATCCAAATCTTCCTTCAAATCAACCTCCAGATTTGTTTTCCAGAGTGGATAGCTCTGATCTTTCCAGGCAAAAACAGAATTTATGCCTGCTTTTTCTTCAAGTTCCATTCTTCTTTCTCTTCTGCGTCTTGTGAAGGAGAAGCACCAGTCTCCCACCTTCACACATCTTCTTATTTTAAATATATGTTTGCATTGATTTGCATTGTTTCAGTGTCTGTCACGACACCTGCAGTCTATGCCTCACGTGTATCACAAGGCTGTGGCTTTGTGCAGGTTCACTGAGAAATGTTGATAATTAAAAAAAACTAAAAATATAAAAGGAACATAGTTGGCCTCTGAGTGAGTCCGAGGCTCACTGTGTAGTGGTGGAGGCTGGTGAATCTGTAGAGTTCACACACAGCTCTCCTTGGTCTTACTGTCCATGAGGAAAGAGCTGAGTTGTGAAATGTCCACTACTACAGCATCTCGCTTATTCAGATGGACGTGGTCCTCATCACTTTGGTCCTTGGCAAAATTAACAAAAACCTTCAGAGATAAGAAAAGAAGAATTAGGATCATTATTACCCAACATTTCACATTTGTTAAAAGATGTATCATCGTGTTCAAGGGGATTTCAAAATGAAATAAAATGCAAAAACAAAACAAAAAACAAGGACATAGGAAGCAGTGTCTTACTTGGTCTAAAGTTGTCTGGGACACGGAGTAGTCCTCTATGCTGAGTGTCTCCTTGTTCTTGGAGAGTAAGGAGAAGATGCGGGCGAGTGAGGTGAGGGAGGAGGGGAGCTGGTATTGCAGCATGTTGCGATGTTTCTCTTTTAGAGTACTTCCTGGAAGCTCCTGCTCAATAAACTCCATCACCGGCCTAAGGTCGGGGTCCGGCCCCGCCACGCGCAGAATAATAGTGTAACCATCACCGAATCTGTAACATACACGCACATTAAAATTTACATGTATATAGTGTATTTATGGGTACTTAATGAGCATGCACTGGTAATTGCTTACTTGTTTTTAAGGTGTTGCACACTGCCCAAACAGCGGAACCTGCCATTAACCATGATGGCCATTCTGGTGCAAAGTGCCTCACACTCTTCCATACTGTAAAAATATCAACCACAACATGTCAGGGCACTAAGGGCAAGGATAACTAAACTACTTAAACTTAAACTACTAAATGACTTACCTATGGGAAGTCAGGACGACTGATCGTCCTTCTTTGATGATACTAAGTATAGCATTCCACAGGGCTCGACGTGCTTTGGGGTCCATGCCTGTTGTTGGTTCATCCTGTGAAATGAAAACACATTGCTATAGTAACTCAGGACAATGTATGTGATCAGTATGAGCAGAATCATCATTTACCAAAAACACAACAGGAGGCCCTCCAATCAGAGCGATGGCAGTGGAAAGTTTCCTCATATTTCCTCCGCTGTAGCTGCCCGCTGACTTATCCACATATTTGACCAAGCCCAGCTTTCGAATGCCCCACTCCGCAACCTTAAAATGAGAATATTATTTTAATATAGAAACAAGATTACAGCTGTGATATTATGACTTGAATGCTGGAACATGAAAGCATGTTCCAGGTTGAAACACAGACCTCACAAACTTCCTTCTCAGGCACTCCTCTCAGAATGGCATAAAACTCCAGGTGCTCTCTGCCTGTCAAAAGGTCGTTAATGGCATCAAACTGAGGACAGTATCCCATGTTCTGGTGCACCTCGTCAATTTCTGTTGTCACACTGAGAGGAAGATAAAAGACAGAAAAGTCAACGCATGAATACAATACATACACACATAACACACATAAAATACATTAGACAACATCAGACTTCTTACCTCTTTCCAGCCAGGTAGGCTTCCCCGCCAGTGACCTCTGAGTCTCCCGTAAGCATTTTAAATGTACTTGTTTTTCCTGCTCCATTCACTCCCAGCAAACCAAAGCACTGCAGAAAAGATGGTCCCCAAATTAAAACTTGTGATGCCTTATACAAATTCTTGTGTGAAAGTTGTTGAAATAGGCTGAGCTCTACCTCTCCAGGGGGAATGCCCACACAGAGCCGGTCCACTGCAGGCTTCTGCTTTCTCTTGTAAATCTTTGTGAGCTGCCGGAGCTCCAGGATATCTGTTTGTCCTCCTCCACTCAGGATCCTCTGACGCTCCCTGGCCACATCTTCATCCTCTTCTCCAATAGGCTTCAAGTGACTAGTGGATGACCTGTTATGTTAGAGTGGAAAACAAGTTGTTTGAGAGTTAGTGATTCTTAAAACATTTGTCCATATTTGGTTAAGTTAATTATTTTTCTTAATTTAGGGCAATTTGAAAATGTGTGATTATATGTAGTCCAGACTAAAAACAAGTTTCAAAATCACTGCACTAGATAGATGCAATATTGCAGTATTGTGTACCTGGCCTTGATGCAGAAGCGGTACTGTATCAGGACAGTGATGAAGAAGAAGACCACGCCCTCAATAGCCATTGCAAACAGGTTCTTTCCCACCATGTCCCAGGCCAGAGGGGAGCGGAAACGGTTTTCTCCTGTGCAAATAAAATTAAAACAATTTAAATACTACATAAGTACAACTAAATACTTGAGGTGTTAATAGATCATTTGTACTCACCAAAGCGTTCAAGAGCATCTGCCATTGCCTGATTCTTCACCATATCAATCAGACCTCTTCCCAGACAGAAGTGAGGGAAAATCAGGAAGACGTTCTTTAGGACGTCATTAATGCCACCGATTTCCTGGAAGGAAACCACAAATATTTAGTTATGTAAACATTTGTAACACATGTTAGATTCATAAAAAAGAACAAGTACTTACATTGCTTCCAAACAGCTCCAAGACAAAAGTGGACACGCTACCATTGATCCCTATAAGTATGTTGACACTGGTCAGAACTACATAAGCTGTGCTGGGGATCTTGAAGAAGAATGAGGCTGGGTACATCAGAGGAGTGATAGACCACCTGCGTAAGAACAAAAGTCATTTTAATGGAGGCCTAATATCAAACAGTTGTGTGAATAAGAGCAATGATGTTTTAAACACTGACCCATAGAGCAGGAGCAGCAGAGCCAGCACAGGGAGGTTTGTGGAGGAGACATAAGCGTCTTGTTGGAAGCACACAAAAATGATGATAACCAGAGTGGCTGGGACAATGTAGTTACACTGTAAAAAGAAAAATATTTCAACATTTGTGCTTGATCTAATAACATTTTGACTTGAAAAATTACAACAACAAAAAAAAGTATTCTCTACCAAATATGTCTGATTATATTGCTGTAAATCTGTGTAAGAACAAGTAGTAGACCCTTAATTGTAGATAAAAATAGAGTACTTACCATATCCCAGACAAAGTTGGCAAGCCAGTAGAGGAAGGGCTGCACTCCACTGATAAACTGTAGATGTTTAGCTTTGTTGACTCTTTCCTGGATGAGGAAGACCACAAAACTCGCCGGGACGAAAGACATGGCAAAAATGACGCAGATGGACACCAGCACATCCACTGAGGTCGTCATACTGCGAAACAGGAAGAAAATAAAATGTGTGAATTTTACCATTTAATGTAATCAAAATAGTACTTCTTATATCACTTAAACTCACAGTGCGACTTGCGACAGCTGCTCTTTGGTAAGGTTGAGGGGGTGATTGTGGACTGTGATGCCAAACTTGGAGGGGTCTTTGTCCGCTGGGAGACTTGCCCTCAGGATGCCATTGTTCATGACATTCAGAAATGATGCAATGCTGTGCCATCCCTTGTTATTAAACCAGATCTATATAGAGAAAAAAACATGTTAGATATAAATCACAAATGCAAAACACAGTATGTATAATACGGTAATACATGATTTAACTTATTTCTAGTGATTATGGTCAAACAAAACTGTACCCATTAGACTACCTTACATGAATGCAATAACATGAACTGCATATAGTGAAAGCATGTGGGGACGAAGACTGAATGGGACTATTGATTGAGTGGATGAATGATTGCATGTACGCCATCAACCAATCCAGGGATTTAAGGTGGAAATTAGCAATCTGCTATAATCTGGCACAAACACTCTGTGTAGATCAATGTTTTTATGTGCATTGCTCCTTAAAACTAAACAATTAAACTAAACTATCTGATAGTGGATTTAATTAGTTTAGTTGTGAGCTAACCTTGACATTATTGTTGGTGTCCAATCCTCCAATAAAACTGGAGAGACTGTGGAAGAAGCGATCTGCTGCTGTTCCCTGGAGAGAAGTGCGGTCAAGAGGACAGTTAAGGACATGCTAACCCAGCACAAATATCTAATCTAGGTAAATCTAGGTAATCTGAGGTAAGAGCAATAAAAAACATAACTGGGAAGAAAATAAGCAAAAGTATGTGTTGAAAATTGTATTATCTTAGTTTTTCTTACTCTCTCCAGTCGGAAGCGTTTCCTGAGTTGAGCAATAGCTTCATCGATTTCATCTCGCTGTGACAAAAGATGAGAATTCCTGGCACCCAATGAAAATCCACCATATCTGTGTAAAAATAGCAGTGAAGGACGTATTATATTTCACTACTTTGGTGCATAAATATACAATCAAGGTCTCAAAGGGAGAGGTAAGATAATGTACCTGAACTCATTGACCCAAATCTTGTTTTTCAGGCTGAAACAGAAAGTAAATTGTTGATAAACTGTTTCTTTGATTGAAACATCTTAATTTTTGTATTTATTGTAGGAATAGTTGTAAAAGTAGGTTACCTCTTTCCAATGATTTGAGCGTAGGTTTTGACCAAATAGTCTGAGATGTTTCTGCCTGTCAAATTCTGAAGTGTGTCTGTTTCACTGATCTTTGTCTACAAAAGTTAAATAAATTGTTAGTTTTATAATTCAATATAAATAATTTAATAATCAAATAAAATGTTAAAATGTATAACCTGTGGAGGAGGCAGACCCCCAGCACCAGCAGGGCACTCAGGTAACATCCTCTTGCGCCCCCCACAGCTGCAGCTACAAAGAGGAGAGGGATTCTCCATGGTCCAGTTTCCATTCTCAAACATCTGAGAGACACTCAGGGGCACCTCAGGCACCGACCACTCCTCTTCAACAGTCGTACAAGGTGCATCCCTGAAAAACAATAAATGCATTATTAAATGGTCTTCACTTTACTTGCTATTCATATTTTACCAAAACAACTTACGGTATAGGTTCCCCTTCCATACAATGTGTCCCAAACCCTGGTTTCTCTGTCAAAGCACTTTGTAGCTTGTTTATATGAGGATCGTCTGGCATATCATTGCTGCAATAAGAATGCAAAATGGAAAATTAAAATAAGATTTGTTTATGTAGATGGCAACATTGAATGAAATGTGCATCTTACCTGATGAAGGTGAACTGTTCTCCATACATGCTGGGGTGCAGGGGAAGGCTGGGGTACTTTCCAAAAGGCGGCACAATCAGACTAAACACCAGAGCGATGCAAACAAAAACTGCAGGAAGCACAATCTGAAAAATAATATACATATTTGTTATTATACAGGCAACACTTTTATCACATTCATTACTTCACAATTATTAGGGCTACACAATATCACATTTGAGTTCTTTACATAAATCACAACTCTAATCTCAATTCTTGACAGGAAAATTTTAAGAAATTTTAAAAGGCTTTGAAAATACCTGAGCGAAAAATCCCTTTCTGGAGCGTTGAGCGTAGAGAAACCGTTTCCACAGCAAAGCCACAAACTGCTGCCTCTTCAGACTCCATCCTTTGACTTGGTACGACCCTTTGCCATCTGTGCCACTCAGCCAGTCTGTCTCACGGGATTCTGAATTCACATCGAGAATAAAGATACAGGAAATGTGAGCAAGAAGCATTTCTGCAAATCAACTTTAAATCTGGATCTGGATCCTCTATCACCTTCTGAGTCATTAAAATCAAAGTCGTCCTCAGTGAAGGGCTTCAGGCAGCTCTGGTGGTCTCCAAAAGCATGACGACGGCGTGTCCTTGTCGGCACAACCCCGTCTAAGAAGAAAGTAATTGAACATTTAGCTCTGTTCACTTTGTGCAGTCAAATGCTCCAAATGTAACACTGTTAAACCAGTATAATTTTATTTTATAGAATTTAAGAATGATAAAGCATTTACCTGAAAGCTCGACTGCATCCACGCCACTATCTTCAGCCACTTTTAAGAAGATCTGCAGAGGTAAACAAAACTTAAAATACAGAACACTGAAGTGATCATTATCTTAGGTGCTCCTTCATGACCACAAAAGGTTGGCTGTAGGATTGTGCAGTTAATGTAATTTTAATCCTGATTCAGTCATATCTAATTGGCAATGATCAGCGTGAGTCTTTATAATCAAGAGGTCCACAGCCAATCCACTGTCAGTAACTGTGGTTTATAGCAGAACAAACTTTGGAGGAAAAACACTTGAACAAATAAAATGTTGCGCTAAATCAATCTAGATCATATCAGTTTTCCTGGCCTGTACCTCCTCCAGTGTTGTGTCAGATATTCCATAACTTGAGATTCCCAGATCAGTCAGACGATCATCCAGCTCATGGAAAAGCTCCACAAAAGCTCCATCTTTGGCTGATTGGTACGGTAGGACATAGGTCAACTCATGTCCAAGGTCCTCCACCATCCGTGCATCTGGGACATGCTTGAAAATCACATTGGAGATCAAAGACACATCTGCAACACAACAAGACAAAAATTTAAGTTAATGAACAGTGGCAAAGGGTGCAAATGGATTAACTGTTCTTCAGTAAAACTGAAAATATTTTAAAATGTATTCTCACCAATTGTAGTTGTTTCACTCTCTGGTTCACTCCCCAATCCTGCATCTGAACTGCTTTCTGAAACACTGTCCTCCTGAAGAGAAAACGCAAAATTAACAAACATGATGAAATTCAAATATGTATAATTTATAACTATACAACACAACTGATTAATATGTTACCTTTTCCACTTTTTTGGTATAGGACACAGTGCTGGCTGAATTCCTGCAAGACTGAAGGGTTAAGTCATAGTCCCGTTTGACCAGGGTCAGGTAGTAGCCGGTTCCCAGGTGAGTCTTCAGGAAGAGGGAGGAGCCAACACAGCACAGCTTTCCGTGGGAAATAATTGCAATACGATCGCCCAAGATGTCCGCTTCATCCATGTGGTGGGTGGACAGAATGATTGTACGACCTGTGATACAAACAATATAGTAGCAAATATTCCAAAAAAAAAAAAAACATTTTGAAATTCTTCGTTTAATGGAGCTGTTTTTACCTTGTCTGTACTTAAGCAGAAGATCCCAAATGCCTCTGCGAGCGTAGGGGTCGACACCAGCAGTGGGCTCATCCAGGATCACAACCTTTGAGCCTCCAACAAAAGCAAGCGCTACAGACAGCTTCCTCTGCATGCCACCTATATGCAGTACAAGACAAGCAGGTCAACTAACCAAATTTTAAACATGATTTTCTATTTGACCTGATGAAAAAGTACGGTTGTAACTGACCAGAAAGAGTGCTAGTTCTGGAGGTTCTTTTGTGGGGCAATCCGACATCATTAACTATCTGCTCCATTTCTGCCTTCACCTTCTCTTCAGGCAAACCCTTAAGGCGAGCATAGAACCAGATGTGTTCCTCCACGGTCAGCCTTGGTTTAAATAAAACAGCAAAACATCAAATTAGTTATTATATGTCCTGATTTGAACTATACAAAGGTTTAGGAAGCCTGAATACTGAAAATACTTACATGCTGAAAAGAACGTTATGTTGAGGGCACACTCCCAAATTTTGGCGTATGGTGCTTAGTTCATTGCGAATGTCTTTTCCGAGGATGTAGGCAGTACCTGAAGTGGGTGGGAACAGCCCAGTCAGAATGGACCTATTGGGAACAAAACAGGAGAATATTAGCTCATATGTTAAGGTAATTTCAGTGTTTATAAGCCCATCTTAACGGTGCATAATGACAATTTTCAGGTAGATAATCCACGAAATGTCTCATGGAAATGTTATTGCTTTGCCTGGAATCTCCAACAGATGCTTTATTCTCTACAAATCTGATCTAGAACTTGGCCTAATTGCGAAACCTGCTTGCCTCCATGGAAATCGAAAAGTTTTATGCCATACTGCAGAACATTCCAAGCAAAGCAATAATTTCACCATGGTGAAAGTTACATAGTGTACCTTTAAGTAACCCAAAATATACATTGATGTATGAAAAAGCTTACATAGTTGTGGTCTTGCCGGCTCCATTGTGTCCAAGGAATGAGGTGATCTGGCCTTCATAAAATCTCAGAGTTAGTCCGTCAACAGCCAGTTTGTTTCCATGGCTGTACACTTTCACAAGATTTTCAATGTATACGCCAGGTTCAATGTGGCCAGGCTCCTCTTCAATGCACAGATCTGTAAATCAAGAACAGAAATATATAGGAAACTTTAAAAAAAATCATGTTTCAATTTCATTGTAAGATTAAGTCCACTGCTTATACCTTCAGGATTGCTTTTCGACTGAGAGCTTGAGAGGTTTTTGTTTTCTTTTTCTCCACACCAGTATGTCCGAGTGAAAGGGAAGTACCATGGTCTGGGAATACCATATTGTCCAGGGAATACAGCCTCAATGTACCAGGTCATAATTCCATACAGTACAGCATCAAACAGCATGAGGCAGATAGATGTGGTCAAGTTGTAGCTGTCATCCTCCAGGGGACTGGCCAGCAGATTGGACCACTGGATCCCCACTCCTTGCTCTTCAAACAGGGCAAAGTACTCGCAGCCAAAGCCAAAGGCCACAGGTGACAACAGACTCTGCAAAGAAATTAAGGAAGAGTTTATAAATACCTAGGTATTAATCAAAGCCAAAGCACTATCCCAAGTAGATAAATCATTTGGCTTGATCTATCCATGTGTTACAAATTAACAATTCAAAAAAACATATATCTTTTGAATAGAAAAATTTAAAAAGTACATTAAATTCTATAAATATTGTGTTTTTACTTAGCATTGTGGTTTTGAAATTGGTATCAAGTTTCAAAACAGAGAGTTGTGAAAATACCAGTCACAAAGTAAATGGGCTTAATTTTATTCCCTTACTGTTAGTGAAGGATTTATAATTTTGTGATAATTTCATGAACATACCACTACAACTTTGGCTCCAAATCCCACGTAGTCTTGCCAGGCCACACAGAGCACATAGGGAAGGTAGAGGGTGAAGTAGATGATGCCACCGCATGCTGCTGCCAAGTTAGCACGTGAAAACAGGGTGCTAATCAGGAAACACTGCATTATTGTGACCACTCCAAATGATCCCAAGAACAGGAATACCACCCCTGAGTCACTATAGGGCAGCAGGTTTCCCATCTGAACGGACAAAGAAGAATGATGTTACACAAATAGCTTTGTGATAAGTGCATTATGGTGAGATCATTTGTTTGTGGATAAAACAGTCAGATGATGCATGACAACACAGTGAATGCAAAGATAATTGATTTGTTTTAGCTCAGCATTCTTAAGTACTGATCTAATATTTGCTAGTTTCCAATACAAACCTTGAGTAGCATCACCAGTAAACCAGCGCTGATGAGAAGTGGTATAAGGCTGCTGATGAACCAACTGAGCCATAGAATGCCATTGTTCAGCCCCATGATTCGCATAGTCTCCTTAAGTCGTGCCTCTTTCTCATAGACCACTCCTTTGATAATGATGGCCACGGAGTACATCCACGCCAAGGTCATGAAAAGCGGCATAGAGCGGCTCATCACTCGGAGGAATCTGAAAATTAGCAGACAAAAATGTGAAAAAATGAATTTATATTTCAGCACATGTTTTAATACAGAATGAGTGCTTACATGTCATCTACATAACAAGGATAGGGCATCTGCTGAATGTAGATTCCAGTCCTCTCCTTGGTTCCAGTGATTGCTCGGATTATTCCATGTTCAATGACGTCCTGCAAGTAGGAAAATCCGCCCCAAACGTACCTCAGATCCTCAAAGGGATCTGCTCTGGGACCCGGATCCCAATATCTACAGAACAAATAAGATTAAATTTTAATGTCACTGTCAAAGAAAATAATGAAATATTCTTTAGAGCATCCGCATATGATGTAACGTGTAAAACAAAGGTACAAGACCCCATTAAATGAACCCAGAACATGCACGTTATAAATAGTAACAGTCTCAGTAGCAGTATAATGTCAATTATCTTATGAAACAAAAATATGATCAGATTACAGAAAAACAGGTTCTTACGCGTCTTTGATCTTGTTTGTCCTTTCCACGTTGTCAATGTCCATGCGAATTTTGTAGTTGACGTTGGGGGGCAGATCTGAACTGCTGCTACCGTGGGAGATGTCTGGAAACACTATTCCTGCCCAAAACTTTTGGTTGTCAAGGAGGCCCATAGATTTGTTTACCAGCCGCTCCTCATTAGCAACAGGCTCGAGCTTGTCCAGATTCACACACTATTTGAAAAACAAAAAAAACAGATTTTATAAATTAATTATTTTTAACATGTTTTTTTTTTCTTTTTCAAAAATAGCTGAAAAAAGTTATTGTTTACGCAGTCCTGACAGATTAGCTTGCGTATCTAAGTTGACAAAATTGACCTTTTCAATCATTGGTGCCGGAATTCAATATAAACATACTCATAACTCCACACAGACATGACTTTTATGACCCTCTCAGCCTTGAAGCAGTTTGTTGTGTGAAAGCCTTTAGAATATCTTTAGTGAATCGCTGTGAGTCGGTCAGTGGGTCGCTTTACATGGACAGCCAGAGTCATAAACTTTAATTGTAAGGAATTTTATAATTTACCTACACTTAAAAATGTTACTTCAGAAACATGGATTATAACGCATGAGACTATTTGAAGCACCAATTTATTATGAGTTATTTTCAATTTAGGTCAATGAAAAAGATTTGACTAATGTGTTTGAAAAGAGCATGAAAATTGATTAGCACTTGGCAGGGCAATAATAGTGGTAGTTGTTGTGGGTAAACCTTGGCGCTCCACTGACCTACAAGAGCCAGAGTGCTTTGGTACACTGAACACTGCAATAATTAAATTTGAGAGAGAAACAAATTAAATTTAAGGACATTTAGCAGTGATTTAGTCCCATCAAAAACAACATAATACAAGTACCAAGCATACAATTTGACCTGACCTAGAAAGCCAAGAAAAAACATTTAACCTCGGTCACCACAAGGCTTAAGTCACTGTGTCTGTGGGACACAATGACCTAAATGTGATATATTAACAGTATTAAGAAAAGCAAGAATCAAACCTTACATCTTATTTTTCTAATGTAGTATTTTTCACTCTCTTGTATATTGTGGAGTAGAAAACTGACCTCCATGAAGCGGGAAATGGTCTGTATGGCCTGGTCGGTCTCATTGAAAACCTCCTTCCAGGTGTAGCCTACAGACTGAGGACCCTCAGACACTTTGGACAAAAACCGCGCCACATCGGACACTTTCCACTCCGTGCCACTCAGCTGTGTGTTGAAGAATGAAGCACTGGCATTGTTCTGCAGTAATGTCTAAAGATAACAAAACAACCAAGTTATGTACAATATACTCAAATTTCTCAGCAAAAATCTGATATGTATTTTTACTATGATGTGGTTTTCACACTCTTAAGCAGGGGCGGTATTTTTACATGGTGGGGACTAAAATCTGCATACACTAAAAATCTGTCCCCTATAATTTAAATTCTTCATTAGATCAACAGCATGTTTATGAACATAACTTTGCAATTCCGGCTTTGGCCACTAGATGGAAGTTGATACAGTATTATGGAAGTGGTATTATTATGTTTGCCAATGCAGCTTAGTGATTATAAACTGTATTTGCTGTAGCCAAACCAACATTGCATAAGAACATGTATTGTAATCCTTTTGGTGTTAGCGTACACAGAGGGACAATCTATTTCTACTGATTAAAGCAAGTTCAAAATGATTACATTAGTAGATATGTCTTTATGACTAAATACTGTTGAGGCTCCCCTCTGTCTGAACTACTTTTTGTGATTGTGGTCCATCTCATGACATGGATGCATTTTTGTTACACATATTTGTCCATGTAGACAGAGTAAATCCTTTGGGTATTCTGAGTGGTCACTTTGTCTTTGAAGGTCACTCTAAGGACTCTATTACAGTTGAGACACCCAGATACAAAGATAACTATAAACAGGAAAAACATTTAGACAAGTGTTTGTACGTGACGTCAGCACAGTGGACCCACCCTGACTAAGTCCATTTCCTCGCTGTTCTCCATGAAATTCCAGATTTTAGGTCTCATTTCTTCCCACATGCCGCCAAGATCCCGCAAGACACCAAACTCCTGGAATGTCTTATTAACCTGCAAAATAACCACAAGATTGTAGTTTATCAATTATTATTTAGAAAGTAGCCCTTAGTTTTAATAATATATGACTTTACAACTGTACCTCGTGGATTATTCTCTGTGTTGCTGGAGTGTCTGGAGTGTAGAGGATCTTGCCCATCAACAGAGGCTTCAAGGCCCTCCAGATCATTCGAGAAATAGGGCTGGACTCAAGGCTCCGCATCAGGTTGTTGCAATATGGAGCTGGGAAACCAATACCAATATATTCCTTTACTTTGTCCATTAGAGATTCATCATCTTTTAAAATATCTCTGTGTAACATGAACTTAGTTCCAGAGAAGATGTATTAAAGCTATTATGGTAATTCTTAAGTAAAAAAAGCATTAACCCAAGGCAAAATAAATTAGATTTGACATCAACATTAAAATCTAAAGAGTGAATTGGATCAAAAACAACAAAAAATGTGACTATATATAAGATATATTTTTATAATTATTTAGCCCAAATAAAAACCCATAACAGTCAAATAAATGTAACAAAAATAAAATTCAAAAAGTGAACTTACTTGAGGAGTTGTCATACACTGAGACAGGTTCAATCTCGCTGTCGTTGCCATGGTTTCCAAACAAGGCCTTGTAGTTGTTGTCTTCGTACCAGTTGAGGGACTTGATCTTGAGGCCGCCGCCTTCAGGGTGCCCACACACGATTCGTGACACAGCCTGGTACATCTGGTTTGGGGAGCCTGTGGCGTTTCCGGTGAGATACAGGATCTCTCTGCGCATGTCCTTCCAACTGTCAATACTACCGAGCTGAAGGGACAGAACATATATTTAAGCATATTTTTAAATACAAAAATTGACAGTCGAAATTGCCTTAAAGTTCAGCATCAAAGCACACAGGAGTGTGCCTATGTTCCACAGCCATGGTCTCTTAAATGTAAAAGATATTTTTGAAACTAAATCCATAACACCCACACTCACTTTGCCCCCAACCTTAAACACAAACTCAAAACCAGGTCCTATCTTAATCATAAACCTACAACTCAAAAACATGGAAAAATGCAGGTGTGGGAACATAGAGCTCACCCCCATGCCATCCTCACCTAACAATTTTGAAGCAGTGTACATAAAAAATGAGAAAATCAGCTACATCTGGCAATCACAAACATCACAATTGTTCTTATAATAAATGTCTGAAGGGGAAACTGATGTAAAGGCTAAAATATATACAAATCACTGCATACCAAGAGGCCTTTTGTTTTGGCACAGACAACTCAAAACAAAAACAGAAAATGTACAAATATTTCTCAAATCGAAACCCATCACATTCACTTCCAGAATAAGACATCTTTGTATTCTCCAGGACATTGTTACAGTCACTATTGCCATGAGATTAATGCATAAGGTTAAATTGCCTTGAACATATTGTTCAGGTTAAAGGTACAGAGGTTAAAAGCTACACTTGCTGTTGCTTCGCTATTACCTATCACAACACAGTCGGTGTATTTAAACTATGTGAAAGTGGTTGTGTGTGGTGTGGGAGATTTTAAGTTACAGTGTGCTTTTTGGCGTCCTAGACTTCAACTACGTCAGGGTGGAGACAGTTCACACTTAGCCTCCTGTCTCAATGCGATAAATTTAAATAGTGTCAGCTTGCTATCTCAACCTGTTAAGAATTTATACAGGTGTGAATTTTATTTCAGGTCACATAACCTAATGTTGCTAATGTGCTATTGTTACACTTATATAAAATGCATTTATAGCTGTATTACATAAGGTTTACACAAATAGTTATGTATGTTTCATGCTATAACAGACAAAGAATTGCAGATTATAATAAATACTTGTACAATTATTACATTGTGTTGCAGCAGTGAATCACATTGAGGTTATTACGGGTCAAGAAACAAGTCCATACAAGTTCCAATGATAACTGGCCTATGTCACAAACTCATGATCGGGAAGGAATGAAAGTGGGAGGAAATTTTTGTCCAAGTACCGAACAAAAGGCTAAAAATGTGAGTTTGTTTACCATGCAAGATTATGATAAAATACAGTTAAAAGGTTGTTGAAATCAAGAATCTTTATCAGTTTCTATGTATATGTTGTATAATAAGAAGGGGCGCCATGCTGTGTTGTAAGACAGGAGCGAGAGGTGCTACCAGAAGATTCCAGAACAAAGAGTTACTATAGGTCATTCTTCTAATAGGCAGCCTACACAAGTACAGCCATATTATGTTCAAACTGTAGCTGAATACACAGTAACTACCAAACAAAAGGATATATTTACGCTAGGGTGAGCCAAAACAGAGGCTGCTCACAATAAATAACATTCTTGTTGACTTCAAATATTTTTTTTTTTGGTTGTTTTTTTTTGCGCTTTTTGCTTGCAATTGGACCGGTCACAAAGCTTTGATTTAGCTCTGGTTTCAAACTGAAAGAAAGTGAGACTTCTCAGTTCGCTACTGAAAACACTGTGGTTACCTTACAGCTGTAATACAAAACCAGTCACATGTTTCCTGCTTTATAACCCACAATTTTGTTTGCATGTTCAAGTTTAAGCAAGTTTAAGAAAACTAAAAATTGGGCATCCCATCTTGTATTTACTCAAATTACTGTCTCGCATTTAAAACGTGTCAGTGGCTCTGTGTGTCAAGTATGCGGTGTTTATCATTTGCTGAAAGGTGGTCAGTGTTAACAGGAAGGGCCAGATGACTAACACTAAAACATATGCATACAGTACATCCTCAGAGCTGCCAGCAACTAGGTGACATGAAGCTTAAAATTGCCCCTGAGTTACCTCGAGGAGCAGACTGACAGAGGTTACTAGAGTTCATACAGCCTGAGGCCAGAAGAACTTGGTAACACATTTAGGCCAATGCAAAAAAATGGCCCGCAAATTTGTTATTGGTGATGAATTATTGGCAAACTGTGTACTACTACTACTACTACTACTACTACTGTAGATATATTTTCTAGGTATTTCATGGTTTTCAGGTTACATCAGTGTATTTTTGTACTGTGCAGGCCTGAGACCTTCTGGTAAACTGTGATAATCTCCTTTAAGTAAAACTAACAATGTATTAAAAGGGCAGCAATGCAGTAATCATTATGGCGAAACACTGAACAGCGTATACCAGGCACTAATTAAGTAACTGTGTTAGGCTTTATATAATTCACACAAGCCTGCCATGGGCATAGCAGACTTTTAATGTGGTTGGCTAAATGTCTTGAAATATCAAATTACATTATAGATGTTCTTCCAACCACACAGACAGGAAATCCTATCCCGCTATCTCGTACAGCTGGGTCTATAGTTTTGCCAGATCAACAGAACAAGAGTCTAACAGGAGGCTTCTATGTACTGTGAATATGCAATGTGATCCTGAGCTGTGATCCGGGAGCACTGGTTTACATTAGATTACAGCTTTGTAGGAACTGTACTAGGCTGCACACATGTTGTAGTTATTTGGGATTTCAGGGGGTGGATTTAAGTTGAATTATCAGTATCAAACCAAAGCTCAGAATGAACTTTTTAAATAGTGTATAAAATGTTAAACAATGACATTATTATTTCATAAATTGTGTTTTCTTTATGTTTTTTCTTTATATTGTATTTTTCGATATATTATATATTTCTTTTAAAAATGCTGAACATTTAATACAGTAATATAATCGAATCTGTTGAGCTCATTAAATGGTATGTTCTGATTTATTCTTAGAAACCATTGATTAACGGGGCAAATATTAGTGTCTGAACTTTGGAATCAAACAGTGAAGACAGGTGGTCCGATGCGTGTTGTAACATGGAGGATGTTTAATTTACCTCCACGGCCAGAGCACCCAGACTTTCCAGGAGACTGTCCGTCGCAGCAGAGACTTCCTGAACCACTTTGGGATCAGTCTTCACATCTTTCTGTTGAGAAAAATCATTGTAAAATTGTTAATATTACAACTCAAACTGAATAGTTTCCCTGCAGATATTGATGAATAAATCAACATAGAGAAGATGTGATGACGTAAAGTATGTAACAGTACCCCACTATTAAGTACTGATTAAGGAAATTATGTTTAATTTAATTCCATTGCCTCAATAATGTTTACAGTTCTGTGGTGTGTTTGAATAGCATTACAGTCATGCACTTGAAGGGTTTCGTTATCGGTCAATCTTTTCTTAAATAGGCAATGTCCACAAGAACGGCCCTATTATCTTCGGAACACTGCAACCAAACAACAGGATATATTTATTCTGCTGTGAGCCAAATCTGGAACAGCTTACAATAAATAACATTCTTGACAGCTTCCATCATTTCCCAGCAGCGGTGAAATTTTATGTAATTTGCTAAAATAATATGAATTTTTACCACTCTTTTACAGTTTTACAGTAAAAAGATTATATGTATTTTTTGTGGTGGTTAATAATTGAAAGAGTCTAATAGGAATGTTCAGATTAATGATGGAACATATATTTCTACTTAAAGGAAGCAATCTGAAATGACATTGATGAACATGTGACACAAAATACGAATAAGGGGTCCCGTGTCAAAGTTCAAATCTACAAACATACAGTAAAAGCTACGGGCACATGTGCATTTTGACCCCTGCGTGTTCCCGTCAGCATGACCACTTGTGTTTTTTGGCTGTCTGTGAGTGGACGATGGCACTGCGACGCTGTGGCTCTCATATATCACACGACTATGGCAGCTGCTGGAATGTGTGACACCAGATAAAGCACAGGTGCCACAAACACAAACCAGTACGAGACACAGAACAACACAAATTTACCTCTTTAGTTAAAATTGGAAAAAGCAGTAAGGGTTTAGCCAACAATGGTTTTTTTACGATTGCAAAAAGCTTGTTGGGGTTGAGAAACAAAGTGCAAGTTGTGGCCTTAGTCAGTGCCAGGAAGGGGAGGTGGGAGTAAGAATGTAAGGAAAAGGTTATATGAGTTAGTTTCAAGAGTAGAAGTAGTGGAGTTGATTTCAAAAGTAGCAAACGACTCAAGTAAGAGATAAAGCAGGTATTTTCACTGCTTTTTATGAACTTGTAAACACCTGACTTGTTTTCAGATGTCAAACTTCCAAATAAAAAGGAAATGAAAAGCTTTAAGAGTGTGATGTAACTTACTCGAATAGGTTTAAGGAAGTCCAGATTTGAGAGGAAGTGTCTCTGTGCTTTGTTCAACCATTCGCTGGATGATTTGCAGATGATTTCTTGAGTCCTTTTGGATACATTGCGGTCGGCAATATGAACAAACTCCTCTAAGGGTGTTGTGTTGCAGAGATCTCTCAGATGGAATCCAAAACCTTTTGTGAGCACCTAAAAGAAAGTGAAAAAGAGAACATTATTTCACATTTCTCAAAAAATAGTGGAGAATTTGAGGGATTACATAAAATAACAAAATAAATGAATGTTGTAGATAAAATCGAACTTGATAAGAGTGTGGAACTACATAGAAATATGTTGATGAATAACTTAACATAGAGAAGATGTGATGACGTACAACATGTAATAGCACTCTGCAATTAAATACTAATTAAGGAAATTGTTTAATTTAATTCCATTGGCTCAATAATGTTTACAGTTCTGTGGTGTGTTTGAATAGTGTTGCAGTGATACAGTTGTTGAAGTGTTTCGTTATCAGGCAGTCTTTTCTTAAATAGTCACTAGGCAGTCTTTACAAGAACAGCCCTATTATATTCAGAATACTGCTACCAAACAACAGGATACATTTATTTTGCTGTAAGCCAAATCTGGAGCTACTCACAATAAATAACATTCTTGACAGCTTCCATCATTACCCAGCAATTGCAATTTTTTTTGTAATTTGCTAAAATAATTAAAATTTTATATGAATATATTTACATTATATTTAAAAAATAGTGGGGAATTTGAGGGGTGTATGTATGCACGTATGGCGTAGATAAAAGCAAATGTGATAAGACTGTGGACATACATAGAAATATGTTGATAGCAGCTTTTAGATAAAACATTTGAATGAGCAAACAAAGCTGTGAGGCCTGGTAACAGAATGTCCATTTCTTTGATATGAACTAGACGGTTCACATAACTAGTCAAAATGTTACGCACAAGGATGGTGAAAAAAACCTAGTGTCCTTGACCAGTTTGTGTTATTCTGTCATGTTTATCTGACTCCAAACATGCACAGTGCGCTTCTAATCCCTGTAGAATAACAACAGAGGGCTTATGACTATACACTGTACAGTATATCATTCAATAGTCACCAAGCTACTTTTATTAAGCTATGTTGATGTTTATAGATCAAAATCCTAAACCTGTTTTGACAATTCTTTCTTCAGTCATCAAAGCCAACATGACTAATTGGGCATCTATAACAGTTCTAGTTATTTTCAGTGATCAATGGGCGTGTATGGAGTAGATGAGATGTGCCAGACATTTGGACTGAGCGTGCACGTGTTTCAGAACAGAGGAACGGGGGGAGGTGCAGATCATGTGACCACAGCCCACCAACAGCGGAGAGGGATGATGTTATAGATTCAGGGTAAAGCTGCTGCAACAATGTGATGGATGGTTTAAAAATACATTGGGCTAAAACAAGGTAAACCATGTGACTACAGTTATTGCAAAAGTATGAGTGGATTTGACTAAGAATGTTAAAATTTAAGTTGTTATCTACACTGTAAAAATACAAAAAGTGGAACTGAAGAAAGAAAGCATTTGAAAACAAGGGATGCCCATCAGCTTATATGCCTGCACCCAAGATGAATTTCAGCTGGGGTATTAAGGGCTTAACTGTGCCACAGGCGCTGTCAAGACAAGGTCATTACAGTGCTGAATGGTGTATGAGTTGTGCTGTTGCTAAAGCTGGTAATAATAACATATGTATTATGTATTCAAAGAGTAAAGGGATATTTTGAACGACTCACCTTTTCCAGATTGACATCAGCCTCCACGATCTGTCTGAGGTCGTGTCGGGGAAGAGAGGCGTTGTGGTGAAGGAAATGGGAAAGTGTCTCATTATCTTTCAGAAAGTCCTTCAGTTTGAACCCTGTGGGACACCAAGGTTGCATTTAATATTCATGGTTTTAGAAGAAGAATTAAACAAAAGCAAAAAAAGATGACAAAATAATAGGGATGCCACGATATCCAAATCTCACAGTACGATATTATCGCGATATTCATTTCACGATACAATATTTATTGCAATATTTTGCAAGCAGGATACTTTTTGCATTTAAAATACCTTGACAAGGTATTACTTACTGTCATAATCCCAAGACTTAAAGTAAAAAACATATTTCTCCATGTTGTCTGCACTGAAATGAATGATGGGATATGTAGTTTCCTAGGATTTTAGCTGTTGCTACTATAAAACAACGCATTTAACCAAAGGAACTTGTAATTCGATATATTGCAACAGCTCTTGATATTACTGTGAGAGTTTTGACAGTACAATATCACAATATTTTGGTTATTGTTACACCCGTAAAAATAATAATGGTCAAATTTTTATATAGTGCTTTTCCACCTTCAAAACACTCAAAGTGCTTTACATCAAGAAACCACTCACCCATTCACATACACATTCATACACCAGTGTACACAGACACTTGGGGTTAAGTTGATAAACACATCAGCAGTAATCATCTGTGGGAGCTGGAATTGCATTGCCAACCACTCTGTCGACAGTGTTTTTCTTAATGTTAAGAGTGGGATTCGAAGCGCTAACCTCCCCTCTTCCCTCCGAACCCCCCACTACATCCGTGCAGCATTTTATACAGTAATAAATCTGCTGAGCTTTTAATAAATGAGTAGGGAGAACACCCTTCTGAGGACTTCTTGTTCTTTTCCTGAATACCATAGACGCCATAGTGTTTATGAAACTGGCTGGAGTCGGTTTATGGTCTGCAGACTCATACAGACGAGGTTACTCACGGTCATTCCACTTTGCTCTAAATACCACCAACTTCTTCTATCTCCATCCTGTAATTTGTCCGGGAACAAACTGACTTATTATAAAAAAGCTCCAATGAAAGTAGGTTAAGAGGAATCTCACACACAAGAAATGGGCCCACAGGCAGCTGGTGTACTGAGTTATTTTGGTTACAAACAAACCTGTCTTTGTCTTTGTCTCTTATGCAAGTATAGTTTTTGTGTCAGCATAGCCTTTTGCATCATGCTAATCATCTAAATATATATTAATATATAATAAAATAGGGCATGACCAGTCTTCCAATGCCAGCGTCAGCCAATTCCCTGTAATTTAGCTCATCTCCAGTAAATCTTGTATTTTTAAGATTTCACATGACATAGACAAACAGGAAGCACTTTACGCTCCCTTGAGAGGAAATGAAAAAGAACAGTGCATGTCGAGCCAGCACAAATGTGATATGTCTCATGTGTTCAGCCTTCAATGTCAATTAGAAACTCAACACTTTTAAGTCCATTTATCCCAACCATTTGTCTGCATGCAGTTTTTTTGTTTTTCATTAAACACCTTTGTGGCACTAGTTATCAAGGGATAACAACAGGGGAGTGTTAATAAGGTCTAATCAGGGTCCCAGTAGGAAAACTCCCATGATGCTCTTTGCTGTGGGGTTTGGGGAGAGACAACATTGTTCACTCTGGTTGAAAAAAAGAGTTGGCAAAAACACATGTGGAAACTTTAAATCCTTTGTTTGTCTGTTTGGACAACTTAAGTGTGTGAAAAAGATTGTCCAGAGCAAGCAACAGAAGTAACAATTCTTATCTATCAGTGTCAGATTTAGACTTAACCAGGATTTCAAACAAGGACAGTCCCTCTTCCATCATGTGCTCCTGGTCTTTCATATCCTGTTTTAAATCAAACAGACATGAAAATGCAAAGCAAACTTGGCTACTTAACTAAGCTTATTACATCAGTGGCCAAACCAGCGCAAACACTACACTTGTTTGCTCATTGCAGGTAGTCAAATTGCCTGCAATGGAGTTATGAACTTTCCGGAAATATTAGTGATGTAGCTGATAAAATAATGAATGAGGTCACTCACAAACAAATAAACGAAATACACACATTTTCACCAGAACAATCTACAGACTCAATCCTTAAACCTTAACCACTGTCAGGTGTCTATGTAAAGGCCTACACACACTATAAACACTTTTTTAGTCCTGTATATTTTGTACATTGATCATTATGTTCAGTGGCAAATCGTTCACTATACTAGTATATCATCATCAGCAGCAGCAGCAGCACCATCATCATCATCTCAACATGATAAAGATCCATCTCCCCCTCTAATATGGAACCAAAAGCATTGCCTCAAACCAGCTGTTACATGTTGTACTCTATACAGTATAGCTCGCTGTGCTTGACCCTCAACACTTTATCTGTATAAATCTCTCTTCTAACCCCCGTTGCTGGCTGAATTATTAAGCTGCACGTGAGCCCCTCTGCGCACAGCACTTTGATCCCTATAGCACCACGCTCCCTTCTGAGTCCTCCATCATTGTCGCCTCAATCGGACACTTCTCACGTGGCTTAAGAACAAAACAGGCCTGTACATTAAATTACTATAATGATAAACTGCACAGATGTAGCAAAGGTCTGTCTGACCAAGAAAACAGAATCAATGAGCACCATTACATCATGATGAATAACTTCACCCCACCTCCTTGTGCGTAGGCTATTGGGATTTATGATAAATGTCAATATTTTCTTTTAATTTCGCAAATGTGTAATATACAGGCTTTTCAAGGCCATGTAAAGCACAGCGTGTTTATTGCATCATAGGTCACTCACTGTTGATTTAACGCAGCAGAAGGTAACCAAACTAACAAGATCCTTGATTTTGTAGCTGTGTTGCATCATTTGTAAATGTACACCCAATAAAGAGGGCAGAGGGAAAAGACCCAATAGTTCAAAAGTGGTGTGATGATAAAAAAGTAGGTAATGTAAACAAAGCAAGAAAAAAAAATTTTTTTTTAAAATAATCTATCTACCTTTTGACCACATCACCCAGCTCTATTTTCAAGTTTAATTTGATGATAATATTTTATATATTATCATTTTTGTTGAGATAAACAAAAGATAATGTAGCATTTTTTGTGTCAAACCAAGTCAGCATAGGCTAGAAGAATTATGAACGTGCTATTTTTAGTTGGTGACATTTCAGCTTTTCCTTTTGCTGTCAATGTCAAAACCACTTTAAATATCTAAATTCAATGTACAAAGAATACTTGTTAAAGTGTATATCGTATTTATAGTGGTTAAATTTTGATATTTATAAAACCAAAATTGTGCTCTTAGAGGCCATTTTAGATGCAGTGAATTGCAACATTTGACTTTTGGAGATCGGATCATGAGTCTGGCAGGCGCCGATAACAGAGGCACAGGCCACACCCCTCGTCACTGCTATGAGGGGGGAGATAAGTCACTTAGTGGGCTGCAGGGTTATCAAATTATGTACTTGAATTTTTGGTTTTTAGACAAACTTAAAATCAGTAGGAGGTCTCTCTGTTACATAGAGAAAGAAAGCATGTTCAGTTGAATGTTACCAAGTAACTAATAACATTAAAATTGGTTCAGTTAAAGGCTAAAGAAAAAAAAAGATTATGAATGCTCCTATCATATTAGTATTTGTGCCAATGTGGGAGGATTTAACTTGGCTTGCAGTGAAAAATGAAAAAATATGAATGGATGACTCAGTGCCTTTAAAAAATGTGTTTAAAAGATGATATAATGTATTTTTTTCTTACGGGCTGTGTTCTTCTGCATCTTCCTGAGGGCTCTGACCAGGCCCTTGTAGCCCTCATAGCTTTTATCGTTCTGGCTATACAGTAGGATCTTCTTGGCATCAGTGATGAGACGAGAAATTCTGCAAAAAAGGTCAACATTAGATATGCCACATATGTCAGACAGCAAGTATCAAAGCACGCAGCAATATCTATTTAGGTTAAATTTGAACATCTGTACTCACTATTGTACTATTCCTCACTGTAAGTTCAATATTATATGAATGTTTCATCATCCAAACCAGTATTTCTTACATTGAATCGTTGAAGTTTCCCACCATCCCGGGGCTCTCTCCGGGAGTGGAGGATCGGAAGCAGGGGTTGTTTGCGTTGCAGATGATGCCTTGCACCCACGGCAGAGTACCAGCTGAGGGCATGGCCTTGTTGGGAAAATGACCTGAAAAGAAAGGTTTATATTATAGCATGCCATAAATAGACCAAAAAAGAGATACTTTCTTAAACAATACTAATAATTTTATTGTATGAGCAGACAGGGCAAACAGGGAAACAACTTTCTAAACTTCATTGTACACAATTGATCCCTCTGTCTCTGATATTTATGAGGTCTTATCTGTATGATGAAATTTATCAGCTGGCCTTTCAGCTACTGTTGAGGTTAACGAGATTACAATAACTCTTACAGTAAGATAAGAAAAACAGGCCAAGAATTTGACCTACTTGTTTGATGAATAAGGATTCATTCTAAGTTACTGTCTTCGCTCCCCTCCCCTTGATCTTAACATAATTTAAAATTTTTGAACAAAATTAATAACCTGAAGCTTTTAGTTTGCAGGTGACTTTTTACTGTTTAATTTGTCAACAGTCACATGCTCACAGTAAGAACAAATATTGACGCAAATCCTCCCGGTCTATTCTGTACCTAATCTGTTACAACTTGGATGTTCCGAGAAGACAAAAGGTAAATATATTATAGAAAATAAGTACAGTTTGGATAGAAATGTGTGTGTTCGATGGCAGAAGTGTCTGTTACTTACATTCATGCTGCTCATAGGGGGGATAATGTATTCTAACTGCAATCAAGATGAAGAAGATAAACAATGGCCAAATGATCTCAATCAAGAGCTGAAGCTGTTGGAAAAACATACAGAACATGCAATCAGAAACCTTGAGTTAATCAACAACACACAGTGATGACTTTGCTTTTATTTAGATCAAACAAGGTCAGTTTAACTTTGTACTAGTATGGGGGTCTGTCAGCTGTTTGTTGCCTGTATACAGTAATCCCACTGCAGTCTGGGAGAGTACTATGTGGGTTAATAAGGGGAGACACAGACAAGTGCTTCCCTGGGCTATGGGGCTGTCCATCTGCTCCATATGGGCCTCAGCTGCCTGCTCACAGACTTAACTAGTGGCTCTCACATGCGACCAGGATAAAGCATAAGGACAGTGTCTTAGTGGCCTGCTTTCCTTTGTAGTGAGCAAGTGGCCTGGAAGTCAAGTTACCATCGCCACAATTCTGATGGACAAATGACCTAAACCACTGCCAAGCATAAAGGGACACTGTGTTTGAGTCATCAGTGGATTTGATTTACATATGTGTGACTGTGTGGGCTTCAACCAGAACAAAATGGAGGCTGGATAAGAAATCTCATGAAGAAGAGTGTCATTACCAAATCTTTGACTCAAACTACAGTCAGTGTTTAGCTCAAAGGAAAGTCCCATAGTCCCATAGATGCGACCTTCCTACTCACTGAATAACTGCATAATAATAAAGCCACAGCATTATCATAATCTCCAAAGTACAGGAAAAATGGACTATGCTAAATATGTTTGCATGGTGTAATGATCAGATCTACTGACATTAGAGGTGGGAAATATTATAGTGAAAGATTTAACACATTTAACAATGTTCATTTTTAACACATGCCAAGTTATAACATTTAGTATAGCCTCTAGTCTATAAGAAATAAAAGGAATAAAAAATACAACAAATGTACCTGTAACTTTCCAAATAATGCTATAAAATGAGATTTCTACACTTTCTGGGCATAATTTTACAGTCCATTCAAGTCACAACACTTCTGAGCATGTTTTAGCACATTTCAGGTGAATTACCATAATATTATCAGAATATAGTCATTGTGATCATTAAAATAAAACAATTGAGATGCTGCTTTTTATCAGTGTGTCCCACCCTAAGTGACTTTGTTCTTACAGTTTGTCTCCGTCGATACGTGAAGTTTTTCCACAGCAGTAAGCCCAGCTGAGTGGAGACGGCCATGGTGCTGTCTTCCTCACTGAGCCCACTGCAGCTCCTCACTAGGAAACACACAAGACATAGTAAAGGTTACTCAAAGCAAACAACAAAAGGGGATCAGTAACACCCCTGGAAAAGTCAACACCCAAGTCCAAGAACTGCCAACAAAACAGCTTTGAATTCCACATTCTTACTTACTAAAAACTAAATATTACAGAACACACACAGCATAAAGGTAAAATCATACAATAAAGCCAGAAATGAAGATGAAGTGATAAAGAAATTCATACTTAAGGAGTAGTCAAAATTGTACACAAGTAGGAGTAAGTCTGCTGCAATTACAATTTTCATTAAATACAAGAAATCAGTTTGATCACTTTTACAAAAGGAATCATTTTAAACCAATCCTTGAGTAGAGCACAGAAGTAGATATTTTTGCAAACTTAAAATATTGTTTCTTACCAGTTTAGTCTAGAAGAAGAAAAACATATCTTACATTAAAACTGCTCTTCCTAAAGTTCCTCAAATGCAGTTATCAGAGTTAAACAGCAATCTGGAGTCCGCCTCAGCTAAAGTGAAGTGAGGGCGTCATATCTGTCTCAGGTCTACTTAATGTGGATGCATCAGTCCAAAGGTCGACTAACCATGATGACGGCTGAGTGGGCAGTGGGCAGCGTGAATGGGGTGAAAGCTATTTGCAACCCTTTAATCATAAATCTTGTTATTATTCTTTGGTTAATGTTGCACCATAATGCCAAAGCAAGTTCCATGTTTGTAAATTTTGTTCATTGGCAAAACTTGTTTTAATTCTGATAATCTTCACAAATTTCAAAAGTTACAGCCTACATTTTGATGGGTCTTAACAGGTCTCTCTCTGCAATAGGAGATGAATCAGTAGGGAAAGCTTGGTTTTTAGCTTGATTAATCTACAAATATTACCATGACTTTAAATGTGATCACATCATTGTGTAAGACACAAGGATGTAGACATTCTGTTCAAATTTGAAAAATACTTTTCATAGGTTGTTGCCAACACTGCAGGAGCACACTGGAGTACTCACTGTACATTAGTCAGCTCAGTGGAATTGATAGAATACATGGAGCAATAGTGGACATTTTGAAACAACCAACAGTGACCCTTGAACAAGACCTGTTTTTCTCAACCAACTGACCAGCTGACTCCCCACCTGCATCTACTTTATACAAAAAGGCGACAAGGATAATCGCTGTTGGAATATCTATCTAGACTATGTCGCAGTATATCTAGTGTGTGTTCAACACTTTCACTTATTCTTGGCTCATTACATACGCCTATTTATCATGACAACAGAGCAAGTTGATCCCTCTAGTCCTATCGCCTCCATTTTACGTAAACAGTTACACCACGTTACCAAAAAAAAAAAAAAGAAAAAAAAAAAAAAAAAAAGAAAAGATGTTTATACCAGGGAATAGAAATCAATCTTTTTATTTATTTTTTCCGCCATTATAAGCGCACAAACACACTCCCAGGTCCATATGCTTTAATTCCCTTTAAGAGAATAACGCTGTTCGTCGCGGTTATCACAGTCTTCATTGAGATAAAAAGACTCATCAGATGAACTGAATCAGCTCCGAATGGTGCAGTGCCAGTGCGCCTCTAGTGGCCATTCGAAACACTATAATTTTATACTTGTTTACCACAATTTCAGCATCACGTGTTCGATCACATTTATATACCTCTTCGTCTAAACTGGTAGTTTCCTGTTAAACTGGACACTCACTGAGAGAATAAAACCATATTTTCATCGAAAACAGATTAGTCTGTATTAGCAGTGATGGAAAAGACTTACTTGAGTTGTGTTGCGTTTGGCACATCCAGTAATCTAAACCTATGCTGCATGTTGCACATTAATACACGGATTACCCAGAAGATTGATTGGGCCTATGCAGGTTTTAAAACTATAAAACACATCAAGCATTATAACATTTGGTGTATCAATCTTTTTCCAAGTTAAAACACTTTAGTGCTCGCGGTTTCATTGTTTTAACAGAGCCTGGGTTACTGTCGGTCATTGTGTTTTGCGATGCTCAACCACAGTCGTGTCAAGTCGGCAGAACTACCACATAACCGGAAAATAGATGTGATGACAAAATAAAAGACGGCTCAAACATGGAACATACATCTAAAGAAAAAAAAAGTCCATTGCTAATTCTAAGTGATTTGAACAACTAAAATCCAATAGCCATAAGTAATTAACGAAATACATACCCTGCAGTTTTGAAAAGGTATAATGCCAAAAAACTATTTAGTGAACGAGACATGCAACAATTTAGAAGCTTTTATTTTCAGCAACACAAACCGGAAGCTGCTTTGAAGTACATCTATTTTTATGTATTTTTATCCACAAAAGACAGACGGTCAACGGGAGAATAGAAACAAGGCAAAAAATGTAAAAAAAAATTGACAGAAAAGGTAACTGCAGTTTTCTCAAACCATCGCAGTGGTCTTCAACATGCTAAATCCTTTCAGCGCACAACGTGACAATTCATACTTGGCGACGACAAAGTTACACAAAAGATTCGGGGAAAAAAAAATCCGATTTGTAGATAATCTCAAACAAAACTTGCAAAAACTAAAGAAAGACATTTGCCTAGCTTGACTGTTTTATCATAGCATTTTACCATAGCCTAGTCGACGAATCAACATATTTTAATGAACAAAAGAAACTCTCAGATCACCCCGAAAATGACAAAAACTCTGAACTCACCGAGCCTGTGCTGATCGCCTTTTTATTTCCACTCGTTCTCTTTTCATAAATAAATTGTCGAAATAAAAGACTTGATAGCTCCAGTTGTTACGCTCCTGATTGTTGTGCGTCTCAGCGTCTGATAAAACGGTCTTTTTTCCTTGGCCAGGGTTTTATAGTGCGCCTCGGTGCGCAGTGAGAAGAGAGAGGCAGAGAGGTAACCAGCGGTCATCCTTTTGTTGGCGCTCCATATAAGGAAAGCACGTGTGGAGTCAAAACATGTCTTAAAGGGACAGGCACACAATTTCGCTAAAGACACCACTTAGGTTTTATAGTGAATTATAACAATAGACCTGATTTATATAAACATATAGGACTGTCCATATTTATTACACCTAGCCTACTTTGCAAAGATTAAGTATGTAACCAATTGCTGTAGGAAATAAAGGGCAATTTCAATGGCATCGACGGGGTCAACCCTATGTTCCCACAGCCCTACGTTTTCTTTTATGTTTTTTTCTCATTTCTAAGACTTTTCTCAAAATTAAACTACAAGTCAAGTCAATAAAAAAAAAAAAAAAAATCCACATATAAAGAGATCATTCAGACTAATTTCAACCTAGGATCCTTTGCACCATGACCTGCATTACAACTGTAGTCTACTGCTGCTGGATAATAGGTTGGGTGTAACTACCAAACTGGGAGAAACACAGATAAAATCTGATGCAAATTGATGATAAAGGAAATGTGGGAACATAGGGCTTAATTTCGGGGGGAAAAAAGAAAAAAAAAAAAGACCTTCAATGAGGGAACACATGGCTGAGGGAACATAGGCACTCTCCTGGCATCGACTCCTGATTGAATTGATTGGGTTGTCTTCAAACAAAGAAAGTAATACGTTGTAAGAATGATATATTTAGATTTTTTTTAGAGGGCGCCCCAGGTTAGAGGCTTAGAAATAAAATGAATGGATGGAACTTGTAATTTCTTAATTTTCATCTTTTATCACAATTTCACAATGTTCACGACTATTTAAAGTCCAAATAAATAAAGCTCTGAGACCTAAAACATATATTAGGATACAAATAGGCCTATAAAGAAAGCAAAAAGGGGCAGTAACTCAGCTTGCAAGAGTGTTTATCCACTGATCCGAAGGTTGGCGGTTGGTTGAGTGGTCAGATCCACTGACCCACAGGTTGGCGGAGTGATTTCAGCTCCCACAGATGAATGCTGTCGGTATGTCCTTGGGCAAGGCACTTAACCCACTTTGCCCCTAGTGTCTGCGTACACTGGTGTATGAATGTGTGCGTGAATAGGTGAGTGGTTCCTTGATGTAAAGCACTTTGAGTGCCTTGAAGTTGGAAAAGCGCTCTATAAAAATGTGACCATGACCACCAAAATATTGACTGACACTGATACTAATTTAACAAGTTTTGCTTTCAGACTGGGGCATTGTGCATTGCTTGATGAGTGTGAAGTTATTCTGTGAGTGAAATAAAATAAAATAAAATGTAATATGTGAATGAATGATTCTGTTGAACTTGTAAGATGACTATTAAGGTAGATTCAACTATATGAAGAAACGGTTGAGATCAAAATCACTGCACATGCAAAAAGTTTAAGTGTAGCCCAGTTTTTTACATCCATCCATCCATTTTCGTCTGCTTCTCTGGGGCCGGGTCTCAGGGGCAGCAGTCTAAGCAGGGACTCCCAGACTTCCTTCACCCCAGACATGTCCTCCAGCTCCTCCGGGGAACCCCGAGGCCTTCCCAGGCCAGTCGAGAGACATAGTCCCTCCAGCGTGTCCTGGGTCTTTCCCGGGGCCTCCTCCCGGTAGGACATGCCCGGAACACCTCCCGAGGGAGGCGTCCAGGAGACATCCGGAACAGATGCCCGAGCCACCTCAACTGGCTCCTCTCGACGTGGAGGAGCAGCGGCTCTACTCCGAGCTCCTCCCGTGTGACTGAGCTCCTCACCCTATCTCTAAGGGAGCACCCAGCCACCCTGCAAAGGAAACTCATTTCGAGCGCTTCTATGCACGATCTTGTCCTTTCGGTCATTACCCAGAGTTCATGACCATAGGTGAGAGTAGGAACGAAGACTGACCGGTAAATCGAGAGCTTTGCCTTTCGACTCAGCTCCCTCTTCACCACAACGGTCCGATACAGCGACCGCATCACTGCCGAAGCTGCACCGATCCGCCTGTCAATCTCACGTTCCGTCCTTCCCTCACTCGTGAACAAGACCTCGAGATACTTGAACTCCTCCACTTGAGGCAAAGACTCCTCACCCACCCAGAGAGGGCAAGCCAGTTTCTACGTAGGGAGCTGTAGGGGAGGGGGGGGGGGGGGCAACATTTGAAAAAGGACAAACAGTCGCTGGATTTCTCGTTCCTTGGAACATCCTCTGTACAACCTTTAAGGTACTCAGGATGGATCTCGTCCACCCCCGGAGCCTTGCCACCAAGGAGCTTGCCAACCACCTCAGTGACTTCAGCCAGGGTGATGGACGAGTCCGCCTCCGAGCCCCCAGCCTCGGCTTCCTCCTCTGAAGATGTGACAGTGGAATTGAGGAGATCCTCAAAGTATTCCTTCCGGACAAGGTCCCCAGTCGAGGTCAACAGCTCTCCTCCCGCACTGTAAACAGTGTTGGTGAAGAACTGCTTCCCCCTCCTGAGGCACCGGACGGTTTGCCAGAATCTTTGAGGCCGTCCGATAGTCCTCCTGACATGTGGCAGTAATTATCTGATATACAGTCTAGTCCTGAATGCAAAATATATATTGGTAACATTGAACATTCCCTCAGTATATATATATTTATAACACAGTTTGGATTACTCTAAAATTAAAATTACTCCTTAAAAACTTGTGCATTCACCTTCTGTGTTCTTGTGCTCATCGTGTGCAGTCTCTGTAGGATCCCATTAAAATCCTCATTGAACAAGATTAGTCATTAATCCAAGGAAGGACTTGAACTGCCTGCATGGGTGCACACTGAGGAGAATAACTGATCACTGAATGTGTGAATGTTACGCAATAGCTTTCATCAAGAGAATCTAGGCTAGATTAACAGTTAACTAACTTAACTATGAATCACAAGGGACATTCTGTGTTTTGTGAGCTTGTTTGTTCATTTAAAGAGGAGACATTGTGTCCTTTTCATGTCTTGTCAAGTTGGTTGTTGTAGAATATACCACCTATTAGGTGTTGCTACTTGGTGTTTATACCTGTGAAATTGTCTTTGCATTTCTCTCTATGCTCAATGCTCAACTTGTAATACTTTCAAACTGAAGATGTGTTGTGAGCTATCAGGTGCCACTCAGTGGAGAACAATGGCTTTGTTATGGCTGGCCCAGCATGGAGCAGTGTACACACCCAGGGGCTTATGGGAGATCCCCACTGGAGTCCACACGGGTCACTCAGGACATTCTTGGACATTTTTGGGCTTCTAGAAAAAGCATAACATTTTATTGCGGCTACACTGTTTACTGTTTAGCTTCAACATGATGAATTGCAGCAGTGTCCTCTGTGAACCAACTTAACCTATCAGTTTGGATCTGCCTTGACCTCAGATCAAACTCTGTACCCTGAGTGTAGTAGCAGTATTTCAAGTAGCATGCATAAATACACAAATAAATAAATAAACTAATAAGTATAAATATACATACAAAAATACAGTATATATAGATATATTAATAGTAAAATTTACTTTATCATTAACCAACAACTTGACTGAATTAGGAAGGCCATTTGCATATTATGTTTACTAATTAAAAGGCTCCTTTACTATTTCTAAAGTGTTATGGTTATTTAAGAGTTGTGTCTATACTGTTTTTACACAGCATTTCACCTTCTGTCATCGTCTACATTATAACTGTTCTACAATCAGAACCAGCTTCCTTATTTCTCCTTGGCCGATAGTAACCTCGCGCAAACAAAACAGCGACTGCATAAACCACATTAATGAATAGACTACGATTTTGTAGCCTATAGGCTTTACATTGTTATTGTTTACGGTATGATTAAAGTTGTATATTTGGGGCCCTTGTGCAGAGTTGGAGAATGAGAGGCAGAAGTGGAAGAGGATGCCAGATTTGTCCGATAGTAACCCCAGCGCTGAGCGTGGGGGAAGGGAGACGCGTGCCCGATAGTAACCCCGTGCAGAGAGATTGAAGAGAACCAGGTTAAGAAGGAGGAGCTACTGCTCAGCCTTATTTTAACTCAGATGCTCATTACTGTCCTTTGATGTGTATTGTGGCATTAATATGGCCTACTCGGGATTTTGGTTGACGCTCTGTTGTCCCATTGGCTGTGTTAGGGTATTTTAGTCAACATAAAGAAGTCGTTCCTGTTTATTTTTTGACTTTTGGTCTTTGGATGCAGTATGTAATAAATAAGCGAAGCCTTGGCTGAGTCTGACTTGGTAAATAAACACTGGCTTGAAATCTTCCTGCCTACAGCGTCGGCACAACTGAGGCGTTCATGTGCAACTAGAAAACCAAAAGATGTCCATCGAAGAAATGACTATCGTTTCCAGTAATGATGAAAGTGCACGGCTACAATAAAACATAGTCAACAGTATCCCTATACTCTGAATAAAGAGATCAGGATGAGTTCTTCTTCAACACGCTTCAAAATTATAACCAGTGTTTTGTTACAATTTGCTGTTATACATAAGTCCGTGAAAGCAGCGCGCCCTGACCGGTGGTTACCTCTCACTGCAGCTCGAGGAGAACTGGGTGAAAGGGGAATGATGTCACTGAATAACGGAGGACGGATGAGGAGAAGAACAAAGTGCTCCACTTCAGTCATGGGGAACTAGGGTGCCTAAAGAAACAGATGTTGAGATTGTATGCACAAAAATAAATAAATAAATAAATAAACAACACGTTTGTATTCTTTGACAAATACCTTTGATATTGGCAGGTACAGCAGACCGTCAAACTGTCTTCAGGCCACAGTTTTGACTGGAAAAAGTCTCTGATGTTTAGCATGTAAGTCTACTATGTCGTTATCTGGAACTATGCCCTTTGGAGTGTTTTAGTATTCATAAGCTGTTGCTGTAAGAAAAAAAAAAAAAAAAAAAAAAAAATGAGTGAAAGCCATCACAGATATTCATAACATTAAAGAGCTTTGGGTAAGAGATTTGGGCATGATTAATACCTGGTGCATTAAGTGAGCA